GTTCGACGTGTACGAGAAGGAACCGTGGAAGTTCTTCGACGAGAACGCGGACAGGAGCTTGTACGTCTTCACCAAGATCAAGATGAAGAAGTCCAGAGCGGAAAGGACGGCGGGGTCGGGATTCTGGAAGGGGGTGAAAACCACCGACATCGAAGATCATCAGGGCAATATCGTCGGCCACAAGAAGCACTCCAACTTTAAAGCGAAAGACGGCTCGTCTTTCGAACGCGAAAACGCAGCAAAGGGATCTTGGATCATGCACGAGTACTCCATGCTTAAACAGGAAGTGAGTCAAATTCTCTTGTTCTACCTTCGTTAATTTATTGCCATGTACGTCTACCTTGTCTCTACGTACCGTATGAGTGCCTCTAATGAACCTTCGAAACTTGGTGGAAGTTCTTCCATTACAACAGTTTCGTTATTTTACATAAGATATTCGGGTTCCTGATGTTAATAAAATCCTGAAAGCTGATTATTTTCTTTTTAGATTCAATTTTCAAAGCCAAGTGAACCGTAATGTATTTGTATAATCAATATATCTTAGCCTTTGTCATGTTAGAATTATTCTTATAATATTGTGTATGCTATTGTACCCGTAGAATCAGAATAGTGCCGCTTCGTTATCCTGGGATTTCATCAGGTGAGAAAATCGTGAAAGCCAAACTCGTCATCTTTTTGTGTTCTCGTTTTTAATTCTTTGAAAGCCTTGTTTAGCAGAATGCATTCATATAACATGTTTAGATCCTATTCTCCCAGCTTTGTTTGATAGAAAAAATCATAGATGTCGTAACGCCTTGGTGTTTCCTTTGGTATGTAAAATTGCAGATTGTTCTATGTAAGATCCGATTCAAAAAGGAAGAAAGGAACAAAAAACAAGGCACTACAATTTTCCTAAGCATGCCAGTCAGAACCCGAGAAGATCACCGACTCAACGAATCTTCCGACTTCAACCACAACATCGATGTGCCTCACCAAGACATCAACATGGAACCATCGGAAACAATGTCTCTCTTTTCGGATCCTCATGTTGATTGGCAACCATGGTATTGCACAGGTTCAGAGGGGGAATTCTCGACTTTGGCATCTCAACCCTGCTTAGCAATCAGTGCACAACCATTGTCAGATAATGGGGGTTTCGTAAGTGAACGAAGGCCAATCGAGCAAAGCTTCATGGGCATCGCGACATCCGGTGGAAACGCAAATTCACCTGCAGTTGCAATCATGGAAGAGGATACATACGACGACGACAGTTCTCGATGGTTTCTTGACCACATCAATCTTGATTGGACAAATGGCTGGGAGGACCCTGATGACAGCTTCGTACCAGGTGAATGGCCTCTAGCGCGTGATGTTACCGCATCAGAGTTCGCCCCTGTGACAGTAGAAGCACTCGAGTAATCTTTCAGTGAAGATCTACGAGAATATGTAAACAGTCCATTGCAAGAACCGAATGAACTCTTACAATCAATGAATATTGGATGATGTGATTTTGCAACATTTATAAGTGCTAATATGTTTCATTCGAATCCCAATTACATATTTTAATGTTGATTTAACTGTAAAGTATCCCATTCCATTGTTATTCATTCTCCATTCTCATCAAACAATATGTTATTATTATTATCATCATCGTTATTATTATGATAGTTAATTCTCATTAATGATGAGTTTACTCATGTATATGCGAAGTTAAATCGCGTTTAGGAAAGCCCTGATTTAACTTAGAATCATGTAGTGGTTGGTACACGCTTATTGTAAAAATAAAGATATAAAGAGGAAAAAAGAGATGAGATTCAAGAATCAAGATAGATGCGGATTTTTTTTTTTTGTTGAAAGATAGATGTCGATTGAAGAATACATTAATTGGAATAATTAACATCCAATGAATATTTCGATGTAGATAAAAATTTTAACTATTTCTTGTTTAGTATATTCTATTGTGTCTAACTTTAAACAATATGATATTATGGATATTGATGGCACGGTGGATATAGTTTAAGATTATTTATGGTCTTAACCATTATAAATATAAATACACGGTTCGGCATTTTAAAACGTTTCCTCTACCTCATAGATAATGTCCATAAGCAACTTTGTTGCATGTATAAAAGTAATTGCAGACTTGAATATGGGTACGTACATTGAAATTTCAAAAATAAATAGATAGACTCTTCATTGAAGAGAATGAAAAATGAAAAATATTTCAGTGCACGCATTTTCGATCAGGTACGAGCCCACAAACGGGCCTGATTTAAAACTTACTAAAATCGATTTACAAAGCGAGAGACACATCGAACTGTGAGCGGATTTATAAACAAGCGGGCCCTATTCAAGAATCGATAGCAGTCTTGACGCATCGCTTAGTAAATCGATTCTGTAAACCGGCCTTCGTAAGATGTTGTTATTTCTCTACACCGAAAGTACATCGATTTGACCCGTCATTCAACATGGTATAATCTTCCTGTCCGCGACAATAGATGTGTGGTGCAGGATCCAAACACGAAGCTACAAAAAGATCCGTTACATTGTTTGATCTTCTTTTATATCAACTAAAATGGCTGAAGAGGCGCTGGCCGGCGGTAAAAATCTACTCTAAGCATTGCCTTAAAGGTCTCGTACCTCGCTAATGAATATTCAGGTGGGGCCAAGATTCCTCGGCATCACCTGCAACTAAAAGTTACAAGGTTGATGAGCTCGTCACCGCGGCGCCGCCAAGATGATAGCGGTTAAGAGCTCTCCGCACACGAGATAAGCCGCAATCAGGCAACACGGCACGACCCGTTCAGATATCTGTTCTCAATTTGAATCTAATTCGTGGTCTCGTGCAAGATAAACATTGGGCCTCACCACCACCCCCTCAAAAGAGGACATGAAAATGAACACTACTAAGGGAAGCGGATTGGGACTCGTCAATGGCGATGATGTTGATGACCCGTCGGGGCCCCACAAAACAATGTAATTAACGTCTCGCCACGTGATGGTGGGGTCCACGTGGCCACGTAGGATTTGCGCTCTCTCTCTCTGTAATTATCCGATTTATGGAGATTGTACTTGTTTGGCGCAAAAAAAAGGAGAATTAATCAATAAGAACAAGTCCGCTTTTCGCAATATCACGACGGACATGTTGGTCATCGACTTTATTCCCGATGTGAAAAGAGTATAGCCAAGAACTTTTTCATGGGTTATCTTATAAATCATTGTCGGAAGGTAGTATTGGGATGAACACATTGTCTAAAATTGCGAAATTGAAGCAAAAAGTGCGATGATAGGGATTACGTTATCTCAATGCAGCACTTATCCGAGCTTCAAGCGAAATAATCAAATCCTTACCCTCGAAATACTTGCCCGAGCTCAATTATCAGACGACAAAGGAGAAATTTCATTAAACATTTTCCATATCCCTCTAGTCCTACGCTAAATGATAAAATTTAATAGTAAAATCTGATGAAAAATTTGGATCAAACGAAGGAAAAATTTGCAAATAATTTCGAGTGTTTATTGTCCTAATCCGAGGATGAACAGATGCATGGGACCCGCAGGGAATGATGGAAGAAGACGACAAAATGAATTATGCCTGCGGTGGGCCAATGCCTATCTCGTAATTTAGAGAGGGAGATGGGAACAAAAACGATTGACCATCCGAGCGAGTCACGACAAAATTGAATTTGACAGCTAGAGAGATAGAGTGAAAAGCTTCACGATAACAAAAAAAAAAAAGGAACAGGACTTGGTCTTCGTTTCGAACTAGGGATAATGACACAAACAATCCCTAAACTTTGACTCAATGTGCAATTTAATCCCTGAACTTTTAATTTATTCAATATAGTCCCTGAACTTTAGCCTAATGTTCAATTTGGTCCTTGAACTTTTAATCTGTTCAATGTGATCCCTGAACTTTTAACATATGTTCAATTTAGTCCCTGAACTATATGAAAATGTTCAATGTAGTTCTTACACTTAAATTAATAGAAGCACTACATTGAACATTTTCAAATAGTTCAGGGACTAAATTGAACACATACTAAAAGTTCAGGGACCACATTGAACAGATTAAAAGTTCAGGGACCAAATTGAATATCAGGCTAAAGTTCAGGGACTATATTGAACAAATTAAAAGTTCATGGATCAAATTGCACATTAGGTCAAAGATCAAGGACTGTTTGTGTCATTTTCCCTTTCTAACTATAATTATCCTCGTATACGCGTGCGTATACAGCGGTTTGAACTATAATTCATCCTAGGAAAATGAATGCTTGTGTATAGTTATTCGAATTACGATCTTAAATCATGTGCAACTATTTGAATCGATCAATAAGAATACGAACAATTACAATCACGGAATTCTTGATGGAGTAGATTTTTTCTGAGAGTTTTTTTCTTGCGTTGATAACCCATGTATATAATAATGGTAATTATCAAGTCGAATCCTTTCCGAAATAATAATATGCTTATCAAGCTCTGAATAAGTTCAGGATTAGATTTGGCACCTTCACATAGTCATATCACAGGTTCGGCAATCACAAGATAGAGTCTGTTCAATATGACGGTAATTCCGCGTCATAATTATGGAGTACAGCGGTTGTATTGAAAGATGTCATAGCTCGCAGGTTCGATTAGTAAATATTTTGAATGTGCGGCCCCTCAAAAAATTTGGACGAAATAATCATGTAAAAGTTGTCAATGAGACATGCGTTATGACCGTAAGTATGTGAAGAATTTGTCAAATCTATCTTGTGAAGATTGCAGCGCTGAATTCACAACTGTGGCAGACCGCGGATGATTCGTACGAGGCAAGCTCCAATCCCGAGCGTTTCGTGGGACATCGCCCGCAAGAATGATCCTTAACACGTATGTAACGTGAGAAGATGACAAATTCCTCGTGAAGAAAAAATGAGCGATTGATGGTGATGGTGCTGATGGGATTGGGAGGGGATCTGCGTTGTCAAAGCTACTGACTCTGCATGCACACGCCTCCTCCGTCTTTATATGCCACGTCTCTTCCATCTCTCTCTCTCTCTCTCTCTCGAAGTTGCCTTCTTTTTTGCAGAACTGGTGCTCTGAAAGAAGAAAGAGAGAGAGAGACGGCACAGGGAACAGGATAACATTGATGACATAGGTGGCGAAGCTGACCCACCACCACCACCACCACCACCACCGAGGCCAGAGAGGGAAAAGAACGTTAAAAAAAAGGAGGGAGGGGATTTTTGCTGGAAGTGGGAGTTGCTCTCATTTGCTCCCCAGTGACGTTGATTGATTGATTGATCGATGATGATGGTGTTATGTGGGCGCTTTATCAAATCTGTGGCTCCATCCCCATTGAGTGTTTAGTTTCAGTCTGAGAGGATCAGAGTGATTGTTCTCCTGCTGGCCATGGCGGTTCTTTCCCCTGCTCTCTTTGTCGATCCAGCAGCTTTTGTTGGTGTTGCGGTTATCGCTCTCTCATTTCCTCTCTCGCTCTGAGGATCGAAGAACCCAAGAAAAAAAATCACCAAATACAGTGTTTGTGAGAGAGACAGAGAGAGAGTGTGTTGTGGTGGTCAGGCATGGAGGCAGCAGAAATTTGGACACATTTGTCTTCTATTTGAAACGACTAGGATCATCTTTAACGGTGTTTTTCAAAGCCAAGCTCATCTTCATCTTTTGAGGATACCAAACCACAAAACGAAAGACCTCTTTTCCTGATTTGCGTAGTGAGTTTCTTTGCTCTCTCTCTCTCTCTCTCTCTCGGATCATTTCTTGATGCTAAATTTTGCGACCGTTTTGGCAGCGAAATTGGGTACGAAATGCTGAGGAACAGGCCAAGAGCAGTGACAGGGAATAAGCAAGCATTGGTGGCCGATCAGCGGTCTCAGTCCGCCACCACCGCTCAGAACAAGCACGCCTCTAATAACAAATCGATCTTCCCATCTTTCTTAGCTTCGAGATTCATGCATTTGATGATCAAGACTGCACTCACCGAGCCCAAATACGTAATGGGTGTGGGTGGTCCAAGCAGCCCAAGCGCAACCCTCCACATCAATCCTTTTTCTCACCTCAAATTCCCATTTTGGTACCAAAACTATCACCAACATCCGAGATTCCCAGATAAATTCCATGAAGTCAACAAGTACCCATTTCGAGAACTCGACTCCACGGCAAGGACCGGCCTCGCTCTTGTGGACACACTGTCGAACAACAAAGCACGCACCCATCAAGAATCTGTCGTCAAAGGAAGTGACAAGCTGGTCTTGCCCGGATCAAGACTGAAATTTGAGGCTCCTCCCGTTCAAGAGCCCGCGGTTTCTCCAAGTGGGTCTCCGAATTTTGCGTTTCTTGACGATCAGGCGCCGTTGAGAGGGCGTTTGTCTGTGAGCGAGATGGAGCTCTCGGAGGACTACACATGCGTGATATCTCACGGGCCTAACCCGACGGCCACTCATATTTTTGGTAGCTCTGTAGTTGAGACATATTGTTTGTCCAGCGAGGTTAAGAAGCAGACACTGTTTGGTCCAGATAACTTCCTCAGCTCCTGCTACACTTGCAAGAAGAGCATTGAACAGAACGCAGATATTTACATTTACAGGTACTTGTCCATCTACTTTTAACTCAAACAGGTTCTCCTTCTCCTCCTCTGTTTTCCTCTTCTTTTCAAGAGCATAGAAGATAATGTCATGGAGTGTAAAACACACTCCACAGTCCACACCCTGGACAGATGGGAGATATTTATGAGAGAACAAATCTGTGAAATCAATTAAAAAAAGATGATGTTAGATTTTTCTAAAGCTGTTCTGGTTTCATTGCAGGGGTGAGAAAGCTTTCTGTAGCAGTGAATGCCGGTACCAAGAGATGCTGCAAGATGAAGCAGAAGCAGAGATCTTTGCAGAAGCCTGATTACGTTTCTCTCTAACTCGAGCACTTCACACCTCCCTAAGTTTCGTGCATCTCGAGAACTACTATTCCAGAAATTGCAGAGACTATTATTATGGATTTCACGGGACTCAACATTTGCCAGATTAGGGAACACTTCTTAACGCTTCTTCATATCACCGCTCTCCTGCAGATAAGACATAAAAGAGAGATATTTTGTAGAGCTTCCTCCATTGATTATGAATTTTTTTCAATTTTTTTGGTTTTGGAATCTGCAGATGAAGCAAGCAGACCTCTACTTGTTTAATACTTCCTGCCCTTTCTTGAGCAATAAAAAAACAATGCTTGCTTCTGAGCGCTCTGCCCACAGCCACCTCCTGGCTCTTCCAACAGATGATGATGATGAAGTATGAAAAACCATGTTGTGATTTTATAATCAGATCATTGCAATCAATCGTTTTTGTACGTGAGAATATCATGACAGGAGTTGAATTTTAATGAATTGAAGAAGATTCTCTGCCCTCATCAGCCTTATCCTGGCTCCAGCTTCGGTTGAGTAAGCATTTGGGATACCATTTCTTTTTAATAACGCGAGTCTCGTCCGATATCTGACTCTTCCCACGCATCGATCCAGATGGGAAGTCACTTTCAAGTTCGTGATCCGAGCTAAATTGAATTGATATATATATGTGAGGAGTTGGATCGGTCTTCACATTGCAGGGTCTTCCCTCTGCTACAGATTAATTTAGAAATTGATCAAATTATTCATCCCCATATTGTGGTCCTGCTCCTGAAAATTACTTGGACCAGAGTTTGATTTTTTTTGCCCAATTTTCTTGAATTCACAAGGAAAACATGAGAGAGTTGGGTAAGGCTCTTCTGGTCAACCGATTGGTAGGTTGAATTCGTGCAAGATAAGGGTTTTGCCCCGATGGTAGCTTTCGATTTGGATTCTACATCTTCACGAAGAAAACGTTGATCTTGCATTTAGTAAGAACCAGGCTTTGTCAAGGAGGAAACTTCATTAGTTGAAATTGATAGATGAGGCTTTGTCAATGAGTAGCTTCATTAGTTGAAATTGATAGATGAGTAGAGATCTACATGCATATTGTTTTGGGGAGATCATTATATATAAGGGCGATCATTTTTAGGGTGAGTCGATTTCCACACTAGAATCGGGAACCAAACTAGAAGGATCTATTCTCAATTTGTGGAATCAAGAATCAGAGGTGATACCTTTTCTTGAGTTAAGAGAGGTACCGAATCATTCTCGGCCATTGTTGGAGCATCAATTGCCGAAAATGAAAAAGTCCCCTAACCCACATGTTACTACGAAGAAAGTTACTTACAGAAAAAGGGGCGATGGAGGGTAAGTCCGGTGAGAGGTGAGAGTGACACCAATAACCGAGCGGCAAGAATGAAAGAGGGAGGCAAGTAGCGAGAGAGTCCACGAGCTAAGAGAGGCGGACTAAGAGACAAGAGCAACTTGAGGAAGGCGAGACTCAAGATGGCGTCGAGCAAGAGGGGCAAAGGGAGGCGTTGAGCCGTGAGTGAGGGAGAAGTGAGAAGCGAGAAGCGTGAGCATGACTGAGACTGAGAGAAGTCAGAGGCGGCGAGGGAGGCAGTAGAGCGACTGAGAGTCCGAGACTGAGAGATGCCAGGGGTGTGAGCTTGACGAAGACTGAACGAAAATAAAATGAGCAATTAGGGTTTTGGAATAATAAGAATTAAAGAGAAAACTATCGGTTTGGGTGGTCTGGATGGTTCGATCCACACCTGGAACCAAGAACCAAACCTATTGTCATTGGTTTCAAATTTTAGGAACTGGAAATCGATCGATTCGGTTTGGTTCCAATGCTCGTCTCTAATTATTTTGGGGTACTTTTACACCGGAGGTGGAGGGAGACCGATTGTATGTAAATACGGCTTCGAGTGTTACTCCTTTCACACGCGAAATAAATTGGGGTGGAATTCGACTGTAATACCATGTTCGATTTTCCAACTTAAAAGTTTTAAGTCGATAATTGAATGGAGACCACATGTATATAAAATACTTATAAATCACGTAGGCAAGCGACATGCAATACTTCGATATAATATAAACGTTGATTTCTCATTAAAAAAAAAATCATGGAACTAAAACTATTTATAGCCGTAGAGCCCATGCATAACGTGTTGACGTTCGCTTTATTGAACACGGGCAACCCCATCTTGGGCCCAAAAGCTTATGAAAATTAAATTCCACCGTGAGCAAATTTCATCACAAAGGATCCAATCCAAGCCTAGTTGATGCATAAAATCAAGATCCATAGGCAACTAAATTACTGTTGATCTGTTTAGCATGATATTGGACAACTATTTTCTGCACGATCCGTGATCCGAAGTTACCGGTCGTTGAGATCGCTTAAACTATGATTGCGCTTGGCGCATTAAGACTCATTTGCTAATAGAAATTTCATTCATCGAGTAAAAAGAAAGCGCGTGATATGGTAATGCGCAATAGGGAATTTCATCAATCAACTTCGGACATAATTAAAAGAAAATGCTAATTAATCCTATTGTACTTATCCACCGCAGATGGTTATTAGGGAAGCAAGATCTTATTTTGCTTTTACAAATTATCTACGTAGGCGTAGCTCTAGCAATTTACTTGCAATCCCTTTTTTTCAATTGATTATTTTTAGCATCACGGTAAATTCTCTAAAAAGAAAAATTGATATTAAAGCAAAGATCCTAATTGAATTGTGTGGGTCCCTCAGTAATACAATCTCAAAGTTTAGACGGGTCGACAACAATAATTAAAAATAATAATAATGTCACTGTTCTTATGTAAATAGGGAATATTTTCGCCGAATAAAATAAAAATTTGTAGGGAACAGTGACGATATTTTTAACCCATGCTTGCCCACACGTTATATAGGACGGCCGGTGTCCACATCAGCAATATATGCCCAAAATTAGTCGGATGGACTGAATTGGTATCAATGTGAAAAGGTTTATAACTAAATTTGTTCGATCGAAAGGTTTAGGACTGAATTGGTATCAAAGTAATAAGTTTAGGGCTTTTTTTTTTTTTTTTTGGTGTACTTTTCCCTTCCAAGATTAGATGTGGGTTAAGATGTATGTAACGTGTGGGACATGGGCGCAGGCATTTTTAGGTAGGAGCTTTTAATGAGCAAATCCTTCATCTTCTCACACGACAGACAACACGTACTTGCTTTAGCAGCGGTACGCCGTGGGAAACATTAAATCGAGTGACATTGCTTTCGGGATTGAAATTGCTCGATTCTTGCATGCTTGCCATGTAAGTAGGCCTTTGTCAATTTGGAATAAGCCCTGATCAGGGCCTAACCGGCTGTTCCTGTTAGGCCCAATTTGGGTAACCTCCGAGCCCGCCGCCTCAATCCAGCTTTCGTCACGCCTAGGCCCGGCCGCCCGCGTTGCCCGCCGGCCGGAAACTCAATGGTTCGTGCGCAAAAAAATAGGGGATGGCGGAAAGTTGGCCCGAGTAATCTAAACTTCAAACTATTGGAATACGATGGGAAATTAATTTATTTTTAATGAAGGTCAAGTCGATGAACATTTCGAGGGCGCTTGTTTAGTTCGAATGAGAAATTCCGACAAAGTCTCCAATATCGATTTGTAGAGAAGCCCAACAAGGAAACCGGCTTGATCGATCTCCTATGGCGGTACTTTTCCGAGATGTCGCCGTGCATGGTGCTTAAATCAATTTGTTTCTTTCTTTCTTAAAAAGCAGTTCCGAAGAGCGAAAGAATGGCAACCATCTCTGGCGACCCTTCTGAGCATTATTACAACAGCTTCACACCTACTATAAAATGTCCGGTTTAAGTCATAACTACTTTGAATCTCTCGTCACTGCATGCCCGCCAAGCTATCTCTCCATACGGGGTATGCTGCAACTAGGCAATACAACATTCGTCGTTCGGAGATTCGCTCACACCATGAATCGAACTCCCGGCCTTGTGCAGGTCAGATGACTGTTTGACCACCAGACCGATCGCCTTGGTGCCTTGGCGCCTTGGCGGTCACTCCTATTATTGTTTTCAATGATGAGAAATGGGCATGGTATTGTGCCAAGACATCGTGACTCCTTTTTTTCTGGGCCATGCCTTGGACCATGCAAAAAGCAGTGAATTGAGAAAAGCCACAGTCATAACATAGGATGTTAAACACCCTGTTGGTCTCATGCCCGCTCGAGCTTCGATCCGCTTCTCGTCCTGCTGTTAGATGTTCGATTCGCGGGGCCATCGGGTCTAACTGTTCGTTAGAGAAAGGGGAAACGCGAGCGAATCGAACTCGAGATCTGCAGTTCCGTTTCGATTAGGAGATGCTCCCTGTTGAAGACAGATCTGCTGGGCTCCGACTCTGATCCCAAGGGAATTTCGATCCGAACTTTCGTCCCGCAGGAAGAATACAACACTAGAGTTCCCGAGATACCATGCGACAGACAGATACAGCAAGCAGAAAGCTGTGTTGGGTTCAAAAAGCTAACCTGCTTTATAATCTCGCTTCAAAAGTCACGAACTTCCCGCTTCGGTAAAAGAGGAAGTTTCTCTGTCTAGGCTAAGACTCTCTGCCTCGCAATGTCGGACCGAGAATTTCGGACTTTCGAGTGGCGAGATAAAATGTTTTTAACTGATGTTCGTTTGTTTAAAGGAAAACTGTTTACGAAAAATCATTTTTTTCGATTTTTTAGTATTTGGATAACGGAAAATTAGTCGATAGATGGAATACGTTTTTTATAGGAGTGAACAAGATGGACTACCCAAACCGAGACAGGTCCGGATCGGACCGGACCAACCGGTTTGGTCCGGTTGTCGGGAATATCGGTCCGGTTCCTGGTTCCTAAAAGTGGAATCGGTTTCCAGGTGGTCCAGTTCCCGGTTCTAAGGTGGGAACCGGACTGACCGGACTGGACCGATCAATATATATTTTTCTAATTTTTTTCATATATATTTATTTACTTTTTAAAATTTTTGAAAAAAATAGAAAGCCTAATCTAATTTCCCCTATTCCCTCTTGCCTTTACCAATAAGTGATTGGTCCCGTTGGAACCGATCCACGGTCCCAAAACTAGCCGGTTCGGTCCCCGGTCCTAGAAACTGGGAACCGGTCCTCCCAGTTCGGTTTCCAGTTCTTAGGTTGGACCGGATCGGATCGGGAACTGCTCACCCCTAGTTTTTCACTGACTGAAAATTATAAAATTAGATTGGGGGCAAACGACTTCTTCTTCTAGCAAGAAGAAAATCACTTTTCCTTATCAAACAAATGAAAACTAACCGTTTTCCTTGAAAATGATTCAATGAAAAATATTTTCTATATCATGAAGTTTTTCAGCGAAACAGACGCACCATTTTTCAAGAAAAACTATCTTCGGGAAATTGTTTTCCGACTTTCCAGTGTTCGAATGACGGAAAATTAATCGATCTACGAAGAACGATTTCCATGAACTGAAAACAACAAGCTTAGATTGGGAGAAAAAAACTTTCTTTCCGGGCAAGAAGAAAATCACTTTCCCTAAACCCCGAAACCGAACTCTATCGAGCGTTCCAGCACATGCGCCTATTGTAATTCGATCCGCAACGAAAGGAAAATCGCCCCGAACCCATTTCAACGGGTCACGTGACAAGTGTTACGAATGATTTGTTCAGCCTTGAGAAAAAAAACAAAAAGAAGAAGAGCATGCATGTACGATCGAAACAGCTCATTGCTGCTTCTACCTGATCATCAAGTGTGCTCAAGATGCTCTGCGCAACTGTCAGTTCTTTCTCTGCCCTTCTGGCAGATGATCTCGTTGTGCTTCGTTCCGAGTTCCAACCCCGACGAGAAATTTGAGGGGAAATCTCCCATATTTGCTATAAAGAACAAAGGCACAATTGCATGATTGTCTAACTTAGAGGGAAAAGGAAATTATTGTACTGCACCCTGGATCCCATGTGTCCGGTTCGATGAGTTTCAGCAAATAATTCAAGAGCACGAAGATTATCTGTAACGAGACTGATCGCGCGTGTTGACCCGCCTTGCTATTTTTTCAGAAGCTAGTAAGAGCTCGATTGTACGGGACATAAGCGAAGCGGGGCTTGATTCATGGGGTCGACAGATGGATTCGCAAGTGAATTAGATGAGCACACGTCGAGGTCGAGTTCGATTCTCCACGTTGCCGAGTGTAAATGGCATCAGATTCGAGCTGTCGATCCGGACCTTTAGCTGCTGATGTTCCGCACCGCGGTCCGTAAAATTTAATCGGGTGCGTCGCAGTAGTCCCGAAATTTACCTACCCGAAAATGAGTTCTCCAAAAATCATGAAGTACAGGTATGTTTCAATGTGTAATAAGAACTGCAACGTGGGATCTGCATTCAGGCATGTCCCTCCCAGCTGTTTCTGCAGGTCGTTTCAAAAGGACATCTTCTTTGGGGTTCAAGTCATTATATTTAAAGACCACAGTTTGGTCCTAAAGAAAGAGCCAGTGACAGTAGTCAGCTATCAATCCATGCACATGCTGCCAGTGGTCTTTGATTTTTTTTTTTCTTCTCTGTTACAATCTGAAAGTCCGTCTTTTAAGCGGGTAAATCTCGGTTTCGCGAAATACTCCGTTAACCCGTGGAATATCCGAGCCTCTAGAACGAACGGTCGCGCACTCGGAGCTAACGTTTTTTGAAAATTGCTGAGTTTGGAGGGAAAGAACTTCGAACGAGAGAGATCGAGAGGGAGAGAGAGAGAGGATGTTGTTTCTTGAAGTACAATAATGCAGAAATCTCATGTGCCTCACGGCTCGTGTGCCATGGCCGTCTCTCTCTCTCTCTATCTCGACTCTCGAGTGACGTGATGTTGATCTCTCGGGAGTGCCAGTTTTGTATTATTGTTTCTCTGGCTTTAAACTCTCGCGGACAGTGCCATGTCCCTTCTCTTAAAGATAAAGCAAAACACTCCCCCCCTTGGCTTTTCGCAGCTACTTTCACCCTAACGAAGTACCAATTTCCCCCTCCCCTTTTGAGCTGTTGTCACCCTATCTTCAATTCATTTGTCTCCACGCCTCCGACGTATCGGGAGGTTCGTGTGAGCTCGGCGCGCGGCCGCCGTTAGATCACACACGGGACCCTCCGAAACCGACGGGTGCGGTGATGTTCAAATCGGGAAAAGTCTCGAGGTCAAGTTATCAAGGAGAGCGCAGTGTGATGCGAACAGTTAACGGAGGTTGTTCGGTTAGGGGCGTTGGATACGGGATGAAGCAAGCGGGTGGTTGAAATCGTCCAACCAAGCCACCCGACCCCGTGGAGGGATTCGCAAGCGTTCCTCATCTGTCTGCCTCATCAACCCAACCCATCGATGCCACGTGATCCAGGGGCGGACGACGGCCGGCCCGATGTTCCCGAAGTGCCACGGAGTTTTTCTCCGGCCGGTCACGTAGCCGGGCTCCTCGCGACCGCCCCATGCACAACCAAGTCTACCGTCATGCGCGACGTCCAAGTCAACATCCGATGCGACCTGACACCTTTGATGCGGGCTCGATGCCGAACTATTTGCCTTCGGGGGGCCAAACACGGTTTCGATAGCACGTCTCGAGGTTTTGCCCGATCCGAAGGTTGTGATGCTAGAATTTGCACCGGTGGTTGGACTAGACCATCCTATCGAACTACCTATGTCTAGCCCAATTGAACAACCTGACTAAGTCCAATGGAATCTACCCTAAATTTAGAATCATCCACATGTGGAGGATGATGAAGTATTATCAAATGCAATCTTATTTCTTTCAATTGGGCAAGTTTACTTTGTACAGAATCTGAGGTAGGTGATAAATTGCATTTGCCCTTTACATGGTTGGACTCCTAATTTAGTGACTGACCCTAGAGTCTTAACCTTTTTTTGGGTCGAGAACCTAGAGTCTAAACCTAGAGGTAAATTAAACTTGTGCAAGAGTCAATTCCAAAAATTAGGTCATTTTAAATGGTGGACGATCAAGCTAGATTACTTCCAAATCAAAGGGGTAAAGGAAGCTATGGCCTATGAGGAAGTCATGACTAGTAAAAAATTCACGGAGAAATTGTCCAATTAATCTTAATCTTATTGTATAAATGCTAATTTAATCATAAACTTTTCAATCTTATCAAATTAGTTCTAAATCTTCGCACGAAATTTCAATATAGTTCTCATACTATTGTATGGATGCCAATTCAACATTGCGTCACGTCAGCGATTTTGGACAAAAATTGACTGAAAATTAATAACGGTGGCCTATAGTTATGAGTGCATGTTTTATGTGTAAGATTAAGCAGTCGGTCCATACTTTTCGTTATTGAACGTCAAAACATGCAAGTCCGAAGAAAATATTACGGCATGTCAGTCATACACAAGCCCACTCATATTGTATCAATATTTTCTCTGCAACTCCGTGGGACCAAAAGATGGGGCAGATCCATATTTTCGTGACTGTTCCTCCCAAAATACCCCTGGCGAGATCGAAAATTAACATTATTCGACACGTTTATACATTTCGAGACGATTACATCGATAAACAAAAAAGGAAAAAAAAAATTGAAAGAGGCTTTTCGAATGAGAGGTCAAAGATATTATAGCCACACCCCACCTCTTGAATTTTCATAGCATGTGTTGGAAAGTTTGTGCTATGCATATGGTTCTTTGGGGGTCTCTCATTCGATAAGCAAACTAGAGCAAATGAATGCGCGAAGATCTAATCTCCACATCAACTCGATTTGGTCGGGGATATCTGTTTTTTGCCTTAGACCGCTGTATATTCGACAACCATTATGCACGGCATAAGCCGCGCGGAAAGCGATGAAATGATCGATTAGCTCGCGGCATGAAAAACTTATACCGCGTAATAAACTTAGATAAAAGGGCATTACATAGCACGAACATAAAAAAAAGTTCTGCTACATGTATTCTTGCTCGCCACATCATGTAGACTCCGCGCAGGTGTAAGCGTTCGGTCTCTAGCAGCTACCTAACCAGTTGCTAATAGTTGTACTAGATAGATGATTGAAAATGGTGATGTTGGGTCCCTAGCAAACTGTCTGACATATGATCTCTCTCTCTCTCTGAACACAAATATAAGTACCTAGAGAGCTATCTCTTTACCATCGATGCTCTGCTCTGCTTTGCCCCACTCCGGGTCTCCGCAAAAAGCCTGCCTACATAGCTACTGCTCTCTCTGCCCAATCTCTCTCGCTCGCTCGCTCTGTGCTCCAAATCCGGCGATGCCGGCCACGCTGCGCAAGAACCTCAACCTCTGCTTCACGAAGTGGAAGCCTACGCCGTCACCCCAATCCCCGTCCCCGCCCTTCTCCGCCACCCCCACCTCCACCCTCATCAAGAACTTCAACACCCTGTACGACCCCACCCTCCACCCCTCCTCCTCCTCCTCCCCCTCCCCCTCCTCGACCTCCTCCGCCGCCGACGCCGCCGACCCCGACCTCGCCGCCGCCTTCGCCTCCCACCGCTTCTTCTTCTCCTCCCCTGGCCACTCCAACTCCATCATCGACTCCGCGCCTCCCGCCTCCACCGCCGCCGCCGCTGGGGCGGAGGCCTCGGCGCCGCTCGTCGACGACACCGTGGCCGTCCCCACCTACTCCCCGGACCCCTACGCGGACTTCCGGCGGTCCATGCAAGAGATGGTGGAGGCGCGCCAGCTGTTCGACGTAAAGTCCGACTGGGACTTGCTGCACGAGCTGCTCCTGTGCTACCTCGCGCTGAACCCCAAGAGCACCCACAAGATCATCGTGGGCGCTTTCGCCGACCTCCTCGTCAGCCTCATGTCGCGGCCACCACGGCAACGGAGCGACCGCGGCGGCGGAGCCGAGTATCCCCACGGTGGCAACGGATGTAAGATTCTCCGGCGCTGCAGTGATTAGATTACGACAATTACTACGCAAACCATGTTCCTGCGGTCCATTAAACCAAAGAGGGATCGCCATGTCCTATCACCGATGCACAAAACGAATTCTTTTTTGCGGGGTTGGCGTCATATACGGGCACTCCCACTCTTGTCTTTATGTCGTGTACATCAAATCGCAGATATGTCATAACTATGGTTTTATAGAGTAACATGGCCTACTTATCACTCTTGTCCCATAAGAAAATGGATTGGTTACTTAATCAGGGATCAGTAAATTGAGCTGATGGCATATTTACGTTTGCTGTCGTTTCTTATCTTGCTGCTTTAAGTTAATGCAGAAGAGCTGAAGGGACCACACTATTCTGAGCAAGGGCAGTGTTTGGCTGTTGTCGTATCCATTAGGTGCTGATTTTGCGGATCTGGTGATTAATCCTTGACTCCAAAAATGGGAAGAAACATGAGCGTCGGTGTCTCCAACTATACATTTGATTGATGGGCTATGAGTATTAACATCACTCACACTTGATTTTGATTAAGCGTTTGCATGTGGGTGTTAACCCGTAATCGTAACAACTCGCCAATTAAAAATATGGTCGGACAAATCACTACCATCGGTGAATATGAAAATTGCTGATACCGAAGTTAATTTGTTCAACGATGCTGCCGTGTCAAGTGGCTGCGAGAAGGCAGGGTTGGGCACCCACCATGTGTAGTGGGAAGAAAAAACAAGTTAGAATCTATATCTTTCTGACATGATTGAGTTAGCTAAGATATTGGGTTAAAATCTGTGCCCATCGTGGTTCAAGAACAGGATCAAGTGTCCTGTTTTGTTTTTGGGTTGGGCCTGAAGAGAGGGGGGGAATCTTCGCATCAAACACGGTACGGTACACCGGAGAGAAAGCCGAAATTGGACTGAATCGATAAGATTGCAAATGGTGCCAAAGACAGACGAAGCTCGAGGAATCTGCTGTGTCGGTGTGTGTATATCTACTGTTCTTTTCGTTTTCATGACAAACAGGTTGATGAAACCCGGGGAAGAGAAATGGGGATAGATCCGCTAAAATGTGTAAGAGAAGAGAGTACGATTATTGTTGAATACTGCAACTCGCGGTTTCAAAAATGGAGGCTATGCTCACTGTGCATGGTGTACTTGTTGACTGTTGTCTTGTGCTCTGGCTTCGCTTCTTAGATTCCCAATTTAAAAACGAAGAACAGCCAAATTCATCGATGCTCGAAGTGGGTTCTTGCCCTATATTTCCGGCGAACGACGCTGGGGCACGGCCATGTTTCTACCGGATTTAGCGAGTTATAATAATTGGACAGATACGGTTAGCATGGCTTGCAAGTAGTTACTTCGCACTTTCATGTAATAGACAATGCATAAATTGACCCATGCGTATATGTGATGACTAAGGAGGAAGGTGAAGATGAGAGTTTTGGGTACGTAAATAATACTAAGATCCATTTCATACCACAACCGTGACGGGTTGAATGTGTTTGATCATGCCAACGTCAGAGAGGATTCTAAAATAACACATAATTAAATCGCATTAAATCCGTTTAAAACCCGTACTGGAGGCCAAAATATCGTTGGGTTTCAATCCATCGGGCTAATTTGATTTTCAAACCACGGAGGCTAATCGATAATGACAATCGTGCCACTGACATGGTCGTCCTTTCTTTCGTTCTCGCATCATGCGAGATTTATTATTTCATGATCATCCCTTCTCGAATCGCATCTACTGGGGTGTTGATGTTGCCAAAAGTCAAATTGCAAGTTCGTGGATAAACCAATCGAAATTAAAAATCGAGGGACTTCAAGTGTGATTTACTCACAAATAAGGTGCATGGACTTGGATCCATATGCACCATTGAATGGTCCGTCCCAACAGATTTAAACAATTTGAATACACCAAATGTTTTCGAAAAAAAAAAAATGAATGCAGAGAAAAAATGAAAAGAAAATAGACATGGTGCATGCAAACGATTTTGGGTAAATGAGTTCTTAAACTTTGACCAAAACGTATAATATGATGTTTGAACTTTAGTACAATGTTTAATGTGATTCTTGAACTTTTAATTTGTTCAATATGATTCATGGACTTTTGGTACATATTCAATATAGTTCCCAAATCATAAGAAAATGTTCAATATTGTCTTTACGCTAAAAATTCGATAATTATATTTAACAAATTTAAAGTTCAATTATCATATTGTACATCGGATCAAATTCATCGATCATTCGCGTTATTATCCCAACCGTGTGTTACGATGTCGAGGGACGAAACGTGCAGAGTTTGACTCGTTCTGGTGGCAACGACGTCGTTAGGTCCTCCTATCCGACCGAGCTACAGGTGCCGCCGCCCCCCGTCTTTCTCCGACGACAAAAAATGGGGACGATGTCGCCGCTCCCGCTCTGCATCTCTTGCTTATGGAGTCCCTCCCTACCCTCGTCGCGAACCCACCTCCTCTGTCGTCCCCTTCTCTCGCCACCCGCGTCTCCTTCTCGCGGGGAAGCAGCGACGGGAAGCTATCGACGCGGAGCCGCGGTGTCCGCCGGCGGTTCGAACGAGCGAAACGAGTCGATGTTCATGGACGAGAACGGCGTCGTCGACGACATGGATGGGTACTTGAACTATCTCTCCCCCGAATACGAGTCCGTCTGGGACACCAAGCCTTCCTGGTGAGACTTTCCCCAGTTTCGTTTCCCGTCGTTCCCTTGTTTTGTCCTCATTCTATTCGCGATGGTACGGAAGTGTGTAGTTTTGGGCTGGTGTATGTCAAGGTGGAGTTTTTGATTGACGCGTTCTTCTGTCTGGTGGATTCAGCAATTGCTTGGGGGTTTGCGTTTGAAGGGTCATTAGGAATTTCTGATACAACTAAGTACATAAGCTGTTCTTGCAGAAAAAATCCCAGTACTTTATGTGAGAACAATGGCTGACCATGCTTTTGACATGTCTTTTTACTGAGTTTGATTTCTGAGATTCATGGGTCAGTTTCGAAGACCTGCCGACAGATGGGGTTGTCTTGGTGATCCATTCATGCCTAATCAACTACTGAACTTGATGGTTTCTTGCTCGAATGGCTACCTCTTGTGTTGCTGTTGCGGTTGAGTTGCATTGGCTCAAGTTGGTAAATGGAAGTGTCATTTTGCGTCGACACTTGAACATTCTGCAGTTGTGCTTGGGATATAGCATATGGTTCCACGTCCGGGTTGTTGAACTTGACTACAACCGAGGCAGCTTTGAAGGAGAATCAGTATTGTACAAAAATCTCTGTAATGCCGTGTTGAACAATGTGGAACCATTGTGGATTCATCTAGAAACTTGTGGTGGTAGATGCCCAGGTGCTTTCTGGAAAAGTCAATTACTAATGGGGTTAACTAAGGAATCCATAGATATCTCGGCGAGCAATTCAATTTGACCTGCACCAATAGAATCCGTGTCAGTGATTCATGGTTTTGATCATTAATTTGCACACTATTCTTCAGTTTTAGGCATTCTGAGTTATTTCCTTGTTTGTTTAATCCTTGCATTGTTCTATGCTATCATCATCTGCCTTCAAGCACTTGCTTTCTAGAATTCTTTAGGAGCTCTGAAGTACTTTACCTGTAGATCTACGAACTTTGTCATGTTTCTTGTTTACATGTTTACATTGCAGTGACAGAATCCTTTAACAAACTTTCTCCATGCATACTTGATTCAGATGTATGATCAGTACAACTTCAGTCATAACCGTCTTTGTATGTGCATGTTTCAGCTTTTCTCCTCTGTGAAGATGCAAGTTCTATCTAATGTTGATGGCCAGTTGTTCGCGCGTAATATTATTGTTCAGAATCCTTTGAAAGACCTGCTTTGCAGACTCTCAGAGATGTTTTGCTCTATGTGTTCTCCCTCCAGACAACTCTATTTGATAGCCGTGAATTTCACTTTTAAGAAGTCTTCGGCTAATAGTCTGGATATTGTCTGATATACTTGAACTTTTGGAGAGAAAGTGCCATTAAGATGATAGGCCTGTCTTAAATCTTGACATTGGAGCTTAGAGGTTCTTTTGTAAACTTTAACATTTGGATATCGGGATTAAATGTGTCATTTGGATCTTGTCATTTTACGAATTGCATTCTCCTCTACTAAATGGATATCTAGGCTGCTTATAGTCTGCTTATAATAGGAAATGATGTGGCTTATTTCATAATGCTTAGGCACACAGTCTCACATCATGCATCTGATTTCATTCCAAAAATACTTACGGAAAATATATGCACTTCCTCCTCCATCATGAAATGAAATATAGTTGATGACCAGAGTGATCGACCTTTTTTATATTGTGAGGACTCCAATACTATGATTGAGATCCTGCTCTATATAATACATAAATCTGCACATGCCTCCTGTTGATGATAGCATAGCTTGTGTACAAGGTTACCCATATGAAGGAAAAGTGAACTGCTGCAAGAGATGGATGATGTTCTGGTGATAGTTAAAGCTCATATCTCTTAAGTCTAGCCAGATTGGTTTGCTCAACTGTAATGGGTATCTGTAATTTTATTTTATTTTTATTTTGGCTCACAGGATTGTTTTGTCAGAAGTTAAAACAGGAATCCTTCCTTTGTATTAGTAGTTTTCTTATTCATAACTCATGTTTGTGCATCCAATTGTTGCATCGACAGGTGTCAGCCTTGGACAATAATATTGACAGGAACATTAGCGATTGCCGGTAGCTGGCTAATTTTGCATTCAATGTTGGTAACGGCAATTATATCTTTGCTGATATGCTCATGGTGGTACATCTTCCTTTACTCTTACCCTAAGGTATGGCCATAGCCCCATCACACATCCTGCATTAAGAGAAGGGGATCGATTGGTTTTGCAAGAATCGCCTTTCCTGTTTCAGGCATACACAGACATGATTGCCGAGAGAAGAAAGAGGGTGAGAAGTGGCGTCGAAGATATATTTGGTTCGACAAAGGCTGACGGTATAGACCAATCCTCCAACTGATCATTAGCTGAAGCCGGAAGAGAGGAGCAGAGAAAGGATGAAGGGTGAGTCCCGGTATATCGTGGAGTGATGAGGATTTTTTGAATGTCGAAAGCATCTCATGGAATGAAGATCTGTATTTAACGTCAGCGGAAAATGTTCTTTTCTTCGTTTTTGCATAGATGTTAAAGTTTTTTTTTTTTTTTTTTTTTTTGGTAAGGCATAGATGCTAAAGTTTATAGTCGGTAGTATTGTATAATCGTGTTGCAATGAAGAAAAATACATTTAACTCTTTTAAGTCTCAAGAAAATGTTGAAGAATGTTCTAGGTTGTCAAGATAGCATGAAATACAAAAACTGCAAGTTTCTGGGGAAGTTGGGTTTGGATTTCATAAATGAAAAATCTTGAAAAGGAAGTTAGGGAGATTCTATCTAGTTATTAGAACATGCCAAATTGAGTTCTTCTCTTTTTCCCTGCTTGCCAGATAATGTAGATTTTCTTTTTTTAGTTTTTTAACGATAAAGCCTGAATTTTCGTTCAAATAAAAGAAAATCTCAAACAAGCCTGTTGCTCCTTTGAGAAGCAACAACGACAGGAACAATTTCGTAATTGCTTCTTTGAATATGATATTTTTACTAGCTTCTTCCACAGCTTAGTTATATTTACATCCGAAAGTAATTTTCCGTTGCAGCTTGCGAGTGTTTAACCCAAGCTGGGCTGGCAAAAACCCGAAACAAAATCGACCGATATTAGTATCAAGAACACGTCGCCTCGCCTCTCAAAGTTTGCGTCGATGTTATGAGCCTTCCCTCTTAATTTTCATGGCTAACCTGAAAGTCATATGCGGAGTTGTTCCCGTGCGAATCGTGGGTCGGTTTTGCTAGTGACCCACCCGTGTTCCAGCGGACAATAATAGCTAGATCAACCCGAATCACAGCCCCACACGACGCCGGATAGCAAACCGAATAACCCATTGGACAGTTTTAGCTAAAATTTAGCACAAACAATCAACTGATCCTCAACAAAAAGTTTCTAGACCAACGTCCCTGTAAGAGCCGTACAAGGTACAAGGAAGAAGAGAGCCATCGACACTGCTTTAGCAGTTGCGAAGGCCACCCAGAAAAAAACTCACAGCCTCTCAAACCAAACTCCTATCAGTTATTGATCTCTTTCTCTCCTTTGCTCGTCCTTACTTTTTTCTAACTCTGTTCTTTGCCCTGTTAACTTGAGCTCCTTGCAGAGAAGCTCTTGCTTCGTCGTCTTCTTTCCTTAGCCGATTCAAGATCATCCGTGAAAATGGTGCTCGACGATACTTTCAAGGATTACAAGGTCATCGTGAACCCGGAAAGGAATGAGATGAAAGTGTGCCCACCTGCTAATTCGACCAACTCGGAATGGAGTCCGGATCCTCTTGCCACCTCTCTTCCCACGCTGTTCCGCCAAATTCTGGTCATGCTTGTCATGAGTGGCTTCGTCTCCGTCCTCCTCAAGCCCCTCCATCAGCCTCGGTTTGTCGCCGAGATCATTGTGAGTGCACACGCGAGCGCTCGCACCCTCTCTTCCGAATTTGTCGACATCTTTTGGCGTATGTTTTCGTATCAGCGAACACTCGAACACTCGGGACCGCGTAAAACGTTCTGTTTCGGCCAGATTAGGCACGCACTTCCTCAGTTCGACAAACCTACATTACCATACGTTACGTTTTTTTTTTCGAATTTCCGAATCCCGACTGATTCAAATGTAGTTTATCATAAGCATATGAGTTAGCTACCGGAGTCTCAACTCTCGTATGGATCTAGATCGACCTCTCGAAACATATAAAGGGGAGAAATTGCCCTTTTTTGGGGAGGGAAATTTCAATTCTAGTGTGAGCTTATTAAGAGCATCCTAGTTTCGACTTTATGTTCCTACGCTAGCTTTCCTCTTCCATTGCTCATCTTGGCCATTTAAATCCTCTCAAAACTTTCGCTGCAAAAATGAAGAGGAAGCAGCAAAAAGAGCCGAAACTCATCAACCGACTCATTTGATTGCAGGGCGGCATCCTCATAGGGCCGACGTTTCTAGGAGATGGCACTTATTTCCACGATCATTTCCTTCCTTTCGCGAGCGCAACGGTCATGGAGGCCTTCACCACCTTGGGTGTCGTCTACTACATGTTCCTCGTCGGGTTAGAGATGAACTTGGCTCCTATACTTCGAATCCAGAGGAAATCCATAAGCATCGCCCTGGCTGGGATTCTTGTCCCGCTCGCCATAGGATTTGGCTCGTATTTCTTGATTGTCCCGGAAGCTGAAGAGACGGACAAGAAGTGGTTGAGGCAAAGGGGTGCCTTCGTGTGGGGCATCGCCCTCACGGCCACGAACTTACCCGATGTCACGCGGATTCTGTCCGACTTCAAGCTCCTGCGCACGGAGACCGGAAGAACGGCGCTGTCTTGTGCCTATGTGAGCGACATAGGCACTTGGCTGTTACTCGTTACAGTGATCACAATGTCTCACGATAACGTTTTCTTCATTGCAATCTCTACCGTTGTTTTTGTGCTGCTCTGCATGTACGTGGGCCGTCCGGCTCTCTTGTGGCTCATCGACCGGACGATGGATGGGGATGAGTACACGGAGTACCAGGTCCAATTCGTCCTCTGCGGAGTCATGCTATGGGGTTTCATAACAGATGCAATAGGATTGTACTCGATCTTCGGGTCTTTCATGTTCGGTTTCATCCTGCCGAGTGGCCAGCTCGCGACCCTAATCACGGAGAGGATCGACAGGGTGACGTCATGGATAATGCTACCACTATATTGCCTATTGAACGGCCTCCGGACCAATGTTCCCAGTATGATACCGAAAGGAAGGACCGGTGCGCACGTGGCGGTCTTCATATGCTTGGCTTGGGTCGCCAAGTTCTTGAGCACCCTTCTCATCTCCATATACTACAAAATGGAAAGACAAGAATCCGTGACGCTCGGAGTGCTCATGAACACCAAAGGACTATTGGCCATTATCGTCATCAACATTGGGCGGGATCTGTTGGTACGGCTCTGTAATTGCCCTTCATACCGCGATTTTGGTTTTTTAAGTCTCATAACCGTGTGATTTTGTTTATGCGATACAGCTTCTGGACATCGAGTCATCTGCGGTGATGGTTATAGCACTCCTGGTGATGACATTCACGGTCCCTCCAATCATCAGGCGCACCTACAGAATTGAAAAGCCTCTGATGCTGCACAAACGGAGGACCATCCAGAGCACTGGACTAGATTCGCCGCTTCAAGTCCTCGCGGGAATCTACTCGACTCAGAGCATGCGCGGCATCGTGAACCTACTGCAGCTCTCTCATGCTACCAGGGAGTCCCCGATCAACGTCACGGCCGTCCACCTGGTGGAGCTCACAGAGCACACTTCAGCGGCGATGCTGGTCGTGCACGATGCGTACAAGCCAAATTCCCACAGGGCAAGCGAGGAGAATGCAAAGGCCGACTCGGATCAGATCGTCCAAGCCTTTGAAGACTATGAAAGGGAAAGCAACAACACGGCGTCCGTCGAAGTTCTGTCTGCTCTGTCGCCCTACGCCACGATACACGTGGACGTTTGCAGCATCGCGGAAGACAAGCGAGCTTCAATCATAATCATACCGTTCCACATACAGGGAAAGAACAACGACGAATCCGAGAGCAGCAGTTCTTCCATCAAAGACGTCAACCAAAATGTGCTGGCGAGAGCACCGTGCTCCGTAGCTCTGCTGGTCAACCGGGGTCTAGGGATGTCCAACCACAGACGGCGAGCATTGTTAGTGTTCTTCGTGTGCGGGCCCGACGATCGGGAGGCCTTAGCGTATGCCTGGAGGATGGCACTCCAGCCTGAGGTTCACTTGACAGTCGTACGGTTCTTCGAAGGGGAAGGCACCATAGACCGCGCACCGCTGGACTACCCCAAGGACAGCGAAGGGGCTCTTACAGTCTTTGAGGAGCATGCGAGGCAAAGAGCAATGGACGAAGAGTACATAAACGAATTCAGGTCGAAGACGATGAACAATCAGTCCTTCTCTTACATAGAGGAAGTGGTGAACGACTTGCATGAAACCCTGACTGCTATGGGGCAAATAATGGAGCGAGAATCGTATGAATTGTGCATTGTGGGACGAGGGAAACAAAGCACGTCCCCACTCGCGGCCAGCCTGTCGGAATTGACCGAGTATCCGGAGTTGGGAGCCTTAGGAGATGCGATCGTCACATCTAATTTCGCGTTGAACTCGTCTGTTCTGGTAGTGCAGCAGTATACCAACAAAATTTCGGGGTTTGAAGCTGGGTCGGGCAGGTTTTTGGGCAACGCCCGTCCATGGAAAGTCAAGAACTGGCGGCGCAAAGGCACTTGTTAAGCGAAGGGAGATTGTGAGAACCGGCGGCAATCGTTTATTAGCAACACCCAAAGCCGGTCCAGTATCTCGACTCGTCCATGGAGATGCCATGGCTTCTTTGCTTCCAGCGCTGCACCCCTCGTTGCCCCCAGACACTAGAACAGATCTGAAATGGAAACTGGCCATACCGTGCTTCAAACTGCCTCCATCCGACGATGTTGTGTCTGTACCCCATCTATACTTTTTGCCATGGATTTACGATCGGGTCGAGACTTAATAGAAAAACATACCGTTTCCATTTAGTTGATGAGTACATTTGAAGAGCAGTAATCCTAGGAATACGGATGATGATTTACAAAATGGATGGAGCTGTCACTAAGAAAAGAGCCCCTACACATTCAATGAAACTTATTTCGATGGAAGTGTTTCTTCAGGACCAATGGGGCACCTCTCAGAAACAGAATAAGAGCCTTATCAGGAATGAAGTAAAGACTCTTACACCGTCAGTACAACCCATTAGATATATAATTCAAGCTGAGTAAACCTCAACCATGGGGAGAAATCAGTACACAATGTATCAACATCTACTAGTACATCGGATAGATTCTACACCACATGGACTATCTATGCTGGATCATAATCTAGTAACAACTGATCCCCAAAAGGATTCCAATTATTATGGAGTTTTACACATTCATCCTGCTTGTGGGTCTCAGTAGCCTTTGGTAGATTATAGTACCCATCGCATGTGTGGATAGCAAAGCTTGAACCCACATCGGAACAAGGAAGAGCACTTGGATTGCTCGAGCCCGCTACACCTGCAAATTACCCTCCTCGACATCCAGGGAAACAGCTTGAAATCCATCTACAAAAACCACGCAAGAGAGCACAGAATAAGTTCAACAATTGTCCATGAATCCAACATCTCAAAAACTAGATAAAAAAAGCCGAAAATATGTTAAGGTACATAGCCCTGATCATTAATTGACATGCGAAAGGAAATGAATGAATTTAGAATCTTCAGAAGACTTGAAGCTTTGAATCAGGAAACTAATTCAAAGCAAGACAACCAATGTCTTTGCTCCTCAAAGATAAATTGCTTCCCTAAAGCTAGATCAGTAAAACCCAGTGCTTTCATTTCATGGAAACCACCAGAATCGTCTTTGCGTGGCGTAAAACCCATGAACGTCTATAGGCCACTCTCATATCTGTCAATGCAGTTCCATCGCACTCAGATGACAGGTTGTATTAATGTATAGATGCCAGAAATAAAAGAAACTTTCCTATTCACTGAATACTTATTGATAAAACTAATCTGTTATTCAATATTCTCATGAGTTTTGCCGGGGGTGGAGAGACGGACAAGAACATCAACTGTAAGCAAGCTGAAGCAACCTAGTATCACTATATAGCGGCAAGAAGGCAGTATAGCAAAAGAAAACTACAGGTCTCAAAACAAGCACTTTTGGATTTTTCATGTTGTCAAAGAGTTGAACAATGAAAATAGATGGTGAATGCCTGATCGAATTGATCGGGTCATGTAGGAACAAGGTTTTCGCAGATTTCAATTCCGGCGAAAAAGATGTACGCTAAGCAGAGAATGCTCCATCCACATTCTTTCATTTTCCAAAGATGCTAGACATTCGATAGGGGATACAAAAACTCACCTATACATCACAGCCTAAGCACTTAAGCATCTTGAAACCAAATCCTCACGGTTCTATCAGAATCAAGGCCGGCAGATGCAATCTTGTTCTCCGTCGGATGGCACGAGACAGAAATGACTGTATCAGAGTGGCCTTCAAGTTTCTGAATTAGGTTTTTCCCTTGGAGATCCCATATGCAGACGCACCGATCCTCCGAGCCGCTAACGATGTACTTTCCATTCGTAACAGAGAACGTAGAAGTCAAACAGTAGACACTGTTCTTATGACCTGTATAAATCTTCAAGAACTTCCCGGTTGCGTAGTTCCACAGCTTCTGCAACCCAATGCACAAAACGTCATACAACTGGAGACGAATTGGCGACGCCAACTTTTTTACTCATCCACTAATATTTCTTCCCTTATTGCATTCATTCGAAAGCATCACAAGAACATAACATATCACCAAGAAACATCAACTTCTCCTTCTTCAATTAACTTTCTACGGATATAGTCCAACTATCTAGCTGGTCCAACGACAAGATTCTGAACTCATCAGCAAAGCCCATGAACGTAAGCGAAAATCAAAAACTGAAATGACCACATAATCTTCAAATAAGAAGAAGCAATCACCAATCATATCAACAAGCTGGAAACTTACAATGATCGATGACAATGATCGATGACATATCGCACAAGTTCCAGAAAGAGAGAAAACTTACGAGGGTGTCGTTGAGAGTGGCGACGAGGATGAACTTGCCATTGGGCGAGAATTTGGCGAAGGAAACGGCGGGCACCGTATCATCAATCAGCGTCTTCAAGCAAGCCCCGTTCTTGGTGTCCCAGATCTTGCACGAGCCGTCGTGGCTCCCGGAGACGATGAGGGAGCCGTCGCGGTTGAAGTGGACGGACGTGACGGGCATGGAGTGGGCCCTGATCACGTTGAGGCACCGGCCGGTCTTGACCTCCCAGATGCGTATGGTCTCGTCGAAGGAGCCGGAGACGATGAGGCTGGACTGGGGGTTGAAGTTGACGCAGAAGACGAGGTCGGTGTGGCCCTTGAGGGTCTTGAGGCAGTCGAAGGGGGACCGGGAGGACCAGATGCGGAGGGTGCGGTCGTCGGAGGCGGAGCAGATGTAATGGGAGTCGGAGGACCAGGCGAGGTCGGAGACGCCCTCGGAGTGGCCGACGAGGCGGTGGAGGAGGGACAGGGTGGCGGAGGACCAGACGATTAGGGTTTTGTCGAGGGAGGCGGAGGCGAGGAGGTTGCCGTCGTTCGAGAACCTGACGCAGGAGACGGCGCCGGAGTGGCCGGTCAGGGTCCTCAGGTGGCGGTAGGGCCTGTACTCCGGCGGCGGCGTTGGGGCGGTGGCGCCGCTGCTGGCCATTTTTCTGATGTCCGTCTAAATAAATTTGCAGTCCGGAATGCGACTTTTATAGCGTGGGATTTGAGACATAAAATTAGGGGGGGGGGGGGGCGTTTTGGTCGTCGAGCCATTAATTGAGATAAAATATGATTAGATATAATAAACAATGATGAGAATTTTTTATATTCTAGATTTTTTTTATTATTTTGGTGAAATTTTAAATAAAAAAACTCGAAAAAATAAAACGAAGAAATTTAAATAAGAACACCAAGCATCTGGCTAGGACGTTTCGGGGGCCGAGCGGTCGACCGCCGCGAGCCCGCTGCAGTCGGGGAGGTCCACCCAGCCACCATCACCGCGTGCCGCCGTGTCGAATGGAGAGAGAGACGCGAGCTTGAGATGGTGGCCGCCGTTGAGGTGGTCTCGATGGCCGGTGCACGGTGGTAAACCGCCCACAGGGTTAGAAGTAGAGATAGGGAGAGAGAGACTAATTAGCGGGAATTGAGAGCTCGAATCTAAGGCGACCACCGTGACGAGGTCGCCTGACCACCGCGCAGTGGTCGCCAACGAAGCCAACGACGGCTTTGTCATTGGAGTTGCTTGGGGTAGAAGCAAATTTGTTCTACTTATTTATTTTCTAAGTCCTTAAGTCATTTGGGTGGGATGATCTCTAAGACTTGTATATGTTATCCGGAAAATTTTACCCATACTTATCCAAGCTTATCCCAAGGCAAGGATGTCACCGAACATCGAGCGATTATGCGGTTGTTTGTTTAAATTGAAAACCATGATGGCTGAAAACTTTCTTTTTTTGGTGAAATTTTTATTGGGTTTAATCGTCAGTGTAAATAATTTTTCACTCATTTATTGATGGGTGACATGTATAAGTAGAGATTATTTTGCAACTGAAATTATAAACATGTCAATTACATCAAACGGTGAATGTGTAAGAAGTTCTTTTTTACACTAACGGTGAACGTAATGATAAATCGATTTTTTTTTCCAAAAAAGAGGCTTCAAGACAAGTTCAAGATCGATTCACTCCAAAAACTAGCTTGGTCGAACTGGTTTCAGGATAATGCTGCCGATCCTAGCTTTGAAATCGGGAACCGCACCCCTCTTTGGAACTGACCTGAAATCGAATTAATCGGTTTAAGTCGTTGCCGATGGGTTTCCAAATTGAGCAAGATCCGGTGCTCACCTCGAAGTTTTATAAGTCCGCCAAATATTTTTCATGCTGTTGCAATTTTCCTGGTCAGTTTTGCAACATCCCTCAGATCTTTAGAAGTACGTTGCCATGTCGCTAACGATCGTTTTCCTTAGCTGGTGTGCCGGTTCTTGTTTTATGCCGGTGACGATGTGATGGCTGCCATCGCTACATTGCCAACAAGGTCGCTGGCGGCGGTGCGATCGTGATCCCTACCGCCTCAAAGTGCGTGCTGTCCCGCACCTGCTTCTGAGAGATAGTGAAAGATGATATCAGAACATGTTTCCCAACTTGTACGGGGTATGTTAAGAAAAGATCCTCGATTTGCTAAGACGAAGACAAATCTAATGGGCGAAAGAGAGCTCCGTTGAGGGGAGTTCAGTTGGCTCAAGATGCCGTGCTTGTTAGGGAGAGCACGAGTAATCTGATATTCTCGAACAACTTTGATCGGGAAAAGCAATCCATGAGACATGTCTTGTTGGACGAGAGCGTTGACCATTCAAGTAAATCTTGAAGGAGTGGTGAGGATGGTTCAAGAACACAAGGAAGCAACAAATAGCGGCCCAATTCCCTAAAAAAACCCCAACTTTAGCCTTTGTCCCAATTATATCCCAAACTTTTTTTTGTCTCATAAAAAACCCCAAACTTTTACTTTTGTCCCAAATCTACCCCGTTTACTATTCATCCAATTTTTTCGAATTTTTTTCTTTTCTTTTCTTTTTTTTTTGTTTCACCTGCAACCTCCGGCCGGTCGCCGGTCCGGCGACCGGCCAGAGGCGAGGACCGGCGAGGTCGGCCCCGCCGGCCGCCGGCGAGGTCGGCCCCGCCCAGCAAGGGCGAGGCCGAGCCTCGCCAGATCTGGCGAGGCTCGGTCTGCCCGCGGCACTGGCGAGGTCGGCCTCGCCCGGCTAACGACGAGGTTCGGCCTCAGCCATTGCCTCGCCGGCGGGCCGATGGCGAGGTCGGCCTCGCCGTTGTTGGGCGAGGCGAGCCTCGCCACCGCCGGCGGCGCACCCTCACCGGATCCGGCGAGGCTCGGCCCCGCCGTGAGCCGGGCGAGGTCGACCTTGCCCAAAGAACGGCAAGGTTCGGCCTCGTAGACCTCGCCCGACAGCGGCGCGGCCGACCTCGCCAACCCGGCCGGGCCGAGCCTCGCCAGGATCCGGGCGAGGCTCGGCCGCCCTACTGGGCGAGGTCGACCTCGCCGGCGGCCACGGGCCGACCTCGCCGGCCCTCGCCTGCGGTCGGTCGCCGGACCGGCGAGGTCGGCCGAGGCCGAACCTCGCCGTTCCGGGCGAGCCGACCTCGCCCGCCGGCGGGCCGAGCCTCGCCGGATCCGGGCGAGGCTCGCCGCCCTCTTGCCGGGCGAGGTCGACCTCGCCGGCGGCCGGCGGGGCCGACCTCGCCGGTGCTCGCCTGCGGTCGGTCGCCGGACCGGCGACCGGCCGAAGGTTGAAGGTGAAACAAAAAAAAAGAAAAGAAAAGAAAAAAATTCGAAAAAATAAAAATAATATTAAAAAATTGGATGAATAGTAAACGGGGTAGATTTGGGACAAAAGTAAAAATTTGGGGTTTTTTATGAGACAAAAAAAAGTTTGGGATATAATTGGGACAAAGGCTAAAGTTTGGGGTTTTTTAGGGAATTGGGCCAACAAATAGCCCGCAATAAGGGCGGTCGGAGGAAGGTGTAAGTCCAACTTCCTCCGTATACATGTAGGCTAAAAAGTGAGATTTTGTCCCGAACCATTAATTATGTCCGTTACACTATGAGAACCACCTAATCAATGGTCCAGATGGACTTTAATCTACATAGTAAATAGAGTACCCAGTACCTTATTTGCAATAGCATGAAAAGAGAAATACAAACTCATTTCTTTGTGACAAAGGCTTTTCAATCGGCAGCAATTTCCAGAGCCTTACTATATCCAGGAGTAATACAGCTATGAAGTTCAATGACTACAGCTTTGCCAAGGTTACAAACTTGCAAGGAATCAGACATTATGTGGAGTTTACCGTTTGGATCAATCATCGTAAATGAGACAGAACTAGCTTTCCCACGGTGCAGGCATCAACCGGAGCCTTTCCTCAGTAGCTTGATTGCCGGCAGGAGCCCTCTCTTCAGCCAGCAGTGACTGCAAATCGCTACCATTGGCCAAGCTGTTGAACTCAACAGCTTTCGAAGGCATGGTCGGGTATCGCCGCTGGCAGAATGTCATCAATCTCTTGATTGATTGCAGGTACTTACGGGTTGTCTCGTCATTCATGATATGGGCCACACTGTTTGTATAGATTTTCTCACGAGCTGAACGTTCGTGGATACCAACCATAGTGACACCAATAGGCCAGGGTGCATTTCCAATGGCCAATTTTATGTAATGATCCATAGCTGCTAGGTAGTCTCGCTTAATGCAACAGTTAACAACTATCATCAATGCTTGCCGGATATCATCAGGGAGAACCTGGAGATTTAGATAACCAGAGATGCAATCAGTATCACATCATCGATTTGTCCTCTCATAAACCGCAAAAAAGAGAGCAAAACAAAGAAGTGTCCACTCATAGACACAAGACACAGATTATCCATGCGTTCTCGACCCAGATAAGAGAAGGAGAAAAAAGGATTAGTTCATTATGGTATGACCATCTCATTTATCAATATCTGCTCACTCCATTACCATCTCCACACCCGAGCAATACGAACTGCTCCAAATCTATAAATATTCAATACCAGCTCCTTCAACTCCAAAAATTCAAATAATGCCGAGCGATATAAACTACCACGACAAGTTCCAGATTACGAATGTATCCACGATAATGAAAGTAAGCAAAGAAAGTTAACTTTTGTGAGATCTGCCTTCTATACGTCACTTTAAGTGATGCTAGCCGATGCACAGAACTATGAAACTACCAGCCAGTTAACCTGAGTGAAATTGAATCTTTGCATAAAAAAAAATTATTTCGTTACCACTATAGCATGAGGGCCCAACACTAGTAACCTCAAGGAAGAGGAGAGAAGGTGTGTGATACCATGTCAAAGTTTCACATGGTATAAGCATCAACCTAAGATATATTATTGGGTGAGAACAGGTGTAACAGAACAGGTGAACGAAAATGAAAATTCCTAGCAATCCTATCCAATTGTTACAATAGTCTCAGCACAATAATTTCAATATTAGGAAATTGCGCTCACCCAGAAATATAATATGGGGAATACTGTGGACAATAGTTGAGGGTTTCAACCATTACCTCCTTATTAATTCAGAGTAACAAAGGCCATACTCAAGCACAAGGGCTCGGCTTGGAGGAGGTCCATCTCCTCAATATAAGAGGGTTGGGTTCAATTCTCATCTTCTCCCTCCATATCTTACCCATAAAAGAAGGGCTGAAACTATTCTTAAGACACTTGAAATCTAAAAAATCCAGATGAGAAGAAAGAAGCAAACAGGCATGACAAGATTTGGAACACCGTGTAGGCAGATGTATATCAAGCACCAAGAGTACTCATAATGGATTAATCTCCTCACAGAAACTATTCCGCCAGTGACAGAGAATTATTACTTTCCCTCTCATAACACAGCAAAGAGCACCGCCACTCCCACATGGACAATCAACCGCGAAACCAGCAAAGGAGTGATCATGAAGAAATCTAATCTATCACACTAGTGAATGAAACTAGATCCCTCTCCCTCAGTTTTCAGTAATTTAGAGTTTGACAAATTTCTTCCCATTGTTTAGGCTTCACCCAGCGGATGAAACGCTCAAACTTCCAACAAAGAGCGAGCAAGGTAGCAAGAGCTAACCAGAAACATCCACGCATCTACACTTCGAGCAAGTCAATCATCCGAATCAGTATCAGGATCACAAGTAGTTTTTTCCCAAAAAGAAGATCACAATAAGTGAAACAAACATCAACTTCCCCTTTTGCCTTAAAAATAAGTTAAAGACATTAGAAACCTAGTCAAGACAAAATTTTCAGGAATAGAAACCTCACCTTCTTCCTGCAAAACTTGAACAGCGGATGCAAGTACCTAGCACACTGCTTGAAAGTCGCCACCATCGACTTCCCCTTCGCCGTCCGCTTCTCTGCTTCCTGCATCTCATCCAACTCCTGCTTCCACTCATTCAACAACCTCTTGAAAAACACCAAGATCTTATCCTCCTCGCACAGCTCGTCGAAATTCGCCTTCATCCGCTTCAAATCCTTATCGGCTTCGGCTCCGCTCGATCCTCCATCACCACTCAGCTCATCCTCACCCCTCCTGCCCTCTCCGTCCTCCCCCGCGCCGTCGTCTCTCTCCTTCCTCTTCCTATCGCCCATCATCCCGCTCTTCTGCCGCTTCCTCAGCTCAGCGATGTCGCGGAGGAAGTCGTTCGTCTGACCTTCGGTCATGTCGCTGTCGACCTCGAACAGCCCCGCCTTGAGGACGTACTTGAGACGGTCGAGCCGGGCGTCGTCGTCCTCGCCGAAGAGCGTGATCGGCTGCTTCAGGAACCGGAGGCGGCGGATCACCTCCTGCCTCGGCAGGACAAGGTTGTCGATGTTCTGCTCGTGGGTGAGGGATTTGGACGACGCGGCGGCGGCGGCCGAGGTGGAGACGGCGGAGGAGGAGGCTGAGGCGGCGGCGGAGGAGGGATTGTCGGGCTTGGAGGCGGCGTCGGAGGAGGAGGAGGAGGAGTGGCGGCGGGATTTGGCCTCGAGCTCGCGCTTCTCTTGCTCGCGGAGCTTCTGGATTTGCTTCTGCTCGATCTCGGAGCGCTTGAAGACGCGCCGGCCGCCGGTTTCTTCGGCGAGGGTTTGGCGCTTCTTGAGGAGTTCTTGCTTGAGGATGTCCATTCTAGGGTTTCGTTTCGGCTTCGGGATTGAACAGGAGGAGGAGGTGGAGAAGAACGGAGAAGAAAAGATATACAGAACAGAGATATTGGTAATTCCGGTCAATCAGCACCGGTCCAGTCTAGCTCGGGTTATCAATCGCAAGACCGACTCGTATCTTATCACGTCCGGCCCGGTTCATATCAAAGATAGTAAAAATGAAAAGAAAAAAAAATTGAATGATCTTGTTTTCGGCCTAATTACCTTAAAACCACCGACTTTAAATGGGGTCTCAATTATTACCCAAACTTTTTTTTATGTCTCGTAAAAAAAACACAAATTTTAGGTTGTATCCTAATTTTAGCCATTCTTTTGTCTCGAAGCACATAAACTTTCTTTTGTTCCAATTCTAACCCAAATTTTCTTTCGTCTAATAAAAAAGAATAAACTTTTAATCTATATCTAGATTTGGCCCCCATCAAGTTTTCATAAATTCGACTTGTCATTCTACATATGCTTGGCGAAAACCTAATGAGAGCTCTATATTGAAAGTTGATGCTTTTTCTTGAAATAAAAAAAAAATTTGGGCAATAATTGGGACACGAGTTAAAGTCGGTGTTTGCTATGAAATCAAAAAAAGTTTAGGCTGGGACCCAAGATAAAGTTTATCCCATTTTGTAAAGGAATTGGGCCATTTGTTTGGTATAGAAAACTGAAATTCTAAAAAAAATTGAATTCTCTTTTCAGAAACAAAAATGGAATTTAGTTTTTTCGCAAGCCGGGTTCATGTTTTAGCTTTATTTAAACCGGATTACGGAGTACTAGGCTTAAAACTCACTTGATTCGGAAGACCTCTCCAGCTGAAATCGGTAACATTCTGGTGCCGCCGATTGGGGGAGGCCCAACGCGGAAGAAAAGATGACGACGATCCGCAGATTCTGCTGCGACGACCTCCTCCGCTTCGCGTCCGTCAATCTCGACCACCTTACCGAAACCGTGAGCTCTTCTCCTTCCCCCGACTCTTCTCCGATTCCAACTTCCTAAATTTCAGCCGCAAGACTGGCTCTTGAGGATTGAAATTTTTGAATCCGCGCAGTTCAACATGTCGTTCTACATGACCTACTTGGCGAGATGGCCCGATTACTTCCACGTCGCCGAAGGTCCCGGCAACCGAATCATGGGTTACAGTGAGTAAGCTGGAATTTCCCCATTTTTGTTTCTTAGGTTCTTGTGGATGACCTTGTCGGTTCATACGATGTTCTTGATCTTGAATTTCATTTCTCGGTTCCACGGTTTGTTGCCTGCGGAGATTGCGCTGCGTGATTTCGTGCTCATGGAGGAAGAACCCCTTTTTTGTATGTTGGCTTACAAAATTTGGGTTTCCAAGCGAGAACTGTGCATTTTCTTGTAACAACGTGTACTTGTTCAACCTGTGGGATGGATTTTTGTTCTTTCTTTTTATTTCCATCTCCATGTCTCTCTCTCTGACACACGCAATCATATAATGTTTTCCCGGAGCAATGCGACCTGACATTAGTAGAGAATTAGAGAATAGATGATAAGAGTACTAATGGGTGCAAGAAGTAGCATTTGTCCACTAGATGCCTGTAGGGTAGAGGGATAGGAGTTCTGGAAGCTATCACTAAGTTCACTTTATCCTTACACAATTTTTCGATGTGATGATATGGTTGCTGTGCTGTTATATGGGATTTCTTGTCGATAGAACATGTGCCGTTATATGTACTTAAGTGGTAATTGTTCATTCAAAGTCATCAGAAGTTTGATTGAAGCTTGTAAATAGGAGAGAATGGTATAAAAATTACCATATAGAGATGAGAGTCTAAGTGAAGTGCTTTTATTTTCAATGGATGGGTAAGAGCAAGATGAGCAAGTCTGGCGAGGGTAATCTGATGATGTGGGATTGCAATGTTTCCTCCTGTGCCAGCATTGTCACTTCTGTTGTAGCTTCTTTGTTGGTCTTCGCTGTAAATTCTTCCCATATATTATCCAGGCATCACTTAAGCAAAACTTTCATTTTCCTCCTCTGTGTGTGTATGGATGCAGTTATGGGAAAAGTTGAAGGGCAGGGTGAATCTTGGCATGGGCACGTAACTGCTGTAACTGTTGCTCCAGAGTATCGGAGGCAACAGGTGGCCAAGAAACTGATGAATCTGCTGGAAGATAATAGTGACAAGATGTAAGCAAAATGCACAATGTTATCTTATACTAACCGTCCATGTTCTGCTCCTTTTGTTCAGAAAAGGCCGATTTAAGCTATGGTCGAATCTCTTTATCGCTGAATTTGTGTGAATTACCTTTTCATTAATGACCAGAGAAATGCTTTAGCCTTATAGAAAATGAATTGGAGCATATGTGTTCCCTGGTCAAGTGAATAATTCCCTAAATTTCTCCAGAGGATTTGGAGCATGATGTGGAGGTGCTATTTTTATTCTCTGTCTCTGCCTCTCTCTGAGATAGTAAAATAAAGAAGAGTCAGCAAAAGTTTATAATGTAGAAGCACGATAATGAGAAATGGAACTTTTTATTTCTTCCCTCTTCTGTTATTGCATAAAGCGTATGTGGTTCAGTTTAAAAGGAGGACTATGGTATTACATGTTTTGATATATGCAAAAACCTTTGGCCTGACTTTGTAAGACTTGTGCATGTGCTATCTCGTAATTATTGTCTTGTCAGCTCCTGTCTTTACTAAGCTGGCGGCCGTTTGAAGGTAGTATAGCTACCATTTTGCTATTGCATAAGTCATTTGAGCCATAGTGAAAACGTTGTTATGGGGAATTCAAGGACAAATGAACGAAGAACCACTGAAACCTTTAAGTGGTCCCAGATTACTGAACCATGAAGAGACATTAAAAGTTCTTCTGTTAGTGCCAAATGATGGATGGGTTGAGTCATTTCGGAAAGGGTCATGGAGTAGGTAGTTATTCATTGAATTGCTTTGTCATTTGTGGGGATACAGTATACTAGTTGAGTTACGAATACTGGTCAACACAAAACAGACAAGATGGTTTCTGTTTAGGCTTCTCCTGCCACTGATAGAAGCCTGGTCACCTAGCAGGTTAAAGTTGTTGGTTCAGGTTCTTTGGGTCTCAATGATTTATGACTTTTTAAACTAAAGAACAAATACTTTCTTTTGGAATGATTCCATTGACATTGGTTTCTCTCCGTCCTAATGGTCACATTTTGGCTAAAAGCTCGGTAAGTGCTAAAGTCACATACTTGCAAATCCTCATCTAGATTCCTTTCAGCATATCCTGCAATCTTCCTATGCACTACTTACTTCAAATTGATGGCAAATCCAGTCATATGCTTGATATGTTGTCTCGTGAGCCAGGAGTTTTTTCCCCTAGTGCATTAAATCATCTGGAACTGATTAGGTGATTGAATCAAATGAAGACTTGGTCGTTTTATTTGTTTCAGTTGTTAATATGAGTTTGTAACGTCTGTCTCATCAATAGTCAAAGAAGACACTGTGCTTGTTCATTTGTATTCATTTTTTTCTTGGATATTATGTTAGCTGAACCTGTCTATTTAGATTCTGATTTTTTTTATACTGCCTAAACATTGATAATGTTATTTTTTTTCATTTGAGGGTTTCATTATAAGCTGTATCTATTAGGAGGTCATGTGCTTTCATTTCCATTATTAACACTACAAGAACTTTTCTTTGGCAGTGATAAGGCTTACTTTGTTGATCTGTTTGTGCGAGCATCAAACACTCCAGCCATAAAGATGTATGAAAAGGTGAACCTTTTTCGACTAGCTGAATTCTTTGCCGACCTTTGAAAAATTTACATTCTTTCTTGTTCTCCGTAGTCCTCTTTTTTTTTGTTTTCCGTCAATAATGTCGTAGAAAAGACATGCGTTCTTCCAATGTGCTCAGACATGAGAGAACTGCATGCATTATAATGATGAAGGGATTAGGATTCGAAACTCTTTTAATGAAAAGAGAAGCCCCTAATTTACTGAAACAATTCTGAGCTTTAGGAGTTTGTAGCCCGTGTCTCCAACCCCCATCCATAAGTTCAGGTTCTCTGTACCCGTCAGCCGCGATTGAATTGACCTGTGAGGCACCAAAAAGATGCTCAGCTCCATGCGTGGTCGTGGGAAGCGAAAATCCATTAGTGCCTTAAAGAATCTCAGCCTTCATTTTACTTATAGGAAATCATATCGAGTAATGTTAGGCATATTAACATTAAGGGAAAATACACCAATGGTCCTTGAACCATGGCCAAATATGCAATACCGTCTCTAAACTTTTAATTAACACATTGGGCTAAAATTCAGGGATCATATTGGACAAATTAAAAGTTCAGGGATGGCATTGCACGTTGGGCCATAGTTCAATGACCATTTGTGTAATTATTCATAAGCTAATCTTCTAAAATGTTTATTGATTAATGTTGCAGACTATAACCGTGCCTTTTAAATAAGTATGATGCTCGACATCCAATGAAAATCTGGTGCATGGCATCGTAAACCAATTTAGTAGATCAATCTTAAACTGTCCAATATACCTAGCATTATCCTGAATCCAAACGAGTTAATCAGTGTATGTGTGTGATGCGTGCACAAATGCCCTGTTGTGCAGGGTCCACAAGCAGTTGCCCTCTTTTTTGCAGAAATGTGTTCGCAATACTAATTTGCTACAATTAGGATTTGCTTATTTACTTGTCTAGAGGACTCATCTTCTCTTTATTTCTCCTTTCTCAGCTAGGATACGTAATTTATAGAAGGGTGCTACGCTATTATTCTGGTGAAGAAGATGCTTTAGGTGAGTCTCCGTTCTCACCCAATGAAATATGTTCAGTCTGTGAATTTCATCATTTCCCTATCGATTGCCGCTTCTCTCAACAAACACCATCTTCATCTTCAGATATGAGAAAAGCATTGTCTCGGGACGTCGAGAAGAAGTCCGTCATTCCCCTCAAACGGCCAATAACTCCCGATGAGCTGGAGTACGACTAGAGATGTCCATCTTACTCGCAGACGAGGACGATGCGTTAGTATTGCTCCCCCTCTGTGGTTGGTTGCAGGACCATTCCTGTTCGCATGGACACGATCGAAACTGTATCCCTGCTCCTATTCGTTGAACATGTCGATGTGATTTTCAAACGTGTCTTGAAGATGAGACATTTTTTATCTGAAACTTTCGTTGGCTGTTTGCATTAGTTTCCCGAATGGTCCAGAGTTCAGCGTCTTGCGCCGTCTTTGATAGTGAGTACAACCGTGTAGGAGAAACATATGACAACGGGGGACTCGGGGAGATGGCATCGAGATGGAACTGCGATATAGCTTGTTGTAAACACGAACAATGCGAGGCTTTGCATCTTACCTAGACTACTTTCTAAAGTCTTACTTTTAAGAGAAAATGACACAATTGATCGTTGAATTGAATTTTTGTTCAATGTATGATGTGCAATGTCGTTTTTGAACTTTATCTTAATGTGCAATGTCGTTTTTGAATTTTCAATTTGTTCAACGTGATTTATGAACTTTTGATACATATTCAATCTAATCTGTAGATTATTTGAAAATGTTCAACATCCTCTCCAAACTTAAATTTATTGAAGGACAACATTACACAATCTTTGTATAGTTTGGGGTTAATTTGAACATGTATCAAAAGTTTAGGGATTATATTGAATAACTTTAAAGTCCAAGGACGATATCCCATATTAGGCTAAAGTTTAGAGATCATATTAAATAAATTAAAAGTTTAAAGATTATATATGACTATTCGTGTCGTTATTCTTGCATTCAAAATTGGTACGCACCCGAGGAAAAAGACCAAAACACCCGTGCCGTATTTCTCACACGAAATGGATTTTTTGCTGTGTCGGAAGGAAATCTGGAAACTGCCAGCAAATGGACACGACAAGACAAGACTCACAAAACACATGCCAACTCCGCAAAGTTCAAAACTTTAATTTCCTTGAATTCTCGAGGGGGAGAGGGGGGTGTGAAGAAACCGAAGCAAGCGCCATGGTCTCTTTTCGCTTCCCTTTCTCGTTTTCTCAGCCCCCCGCCAAGCACCCTCTCCCCCGCCCCTCCGCCCTCTCCTTCGCCGTCGCCGCCGCCTCCGTCGCCGCCGGAGCCGCCGCCGTCGCCGGCATTGCGGCGTCCCGGGACCCGCGGCGCCCCCCGTTCCTCCAGAGCGCGCTCGATGTCCTCGTCTCCCGGAGCTCTTCCTTGCCCCTGTGGGGCTCGCTCTCTCTGGCCGAGAATTCTCCTCCGGTGGTCGAGTCGAGGACCGGCGTGTCGTTCCCTTCGGTCGTTGGCGGGTCGCGGCAGCTCCTGGGAGTCGGGTTGAGGAGGAAGAGCCTGCTGGGGTTGAAGAACATCGATGTCTATGCGTTCGGTACCGGCATTTCCGCTACTCTTTCTGGGATTCATGCATCATTTGTTGTTTCTTCTGATGTTTCGAGTGTGTCTGAAGATCGTGCATTCTTGTTAATTTGGGTGAAGATACTGTTTGCTTAAGAATTGCTGTCAGCTTGATCTTTCTGTATCCTGTGTTTGTGCTTACTGACATGGTCGTGTGTGCGTGTCCCTATATATTTTCCACTGAACTGGGGTGTCTTCAGTTGTTCACTATAGAGCTAGATTATAAGGTCCTTCATATCTAAGTGAGACGGGATTACTCGCAGTAAGTGCTGTTAGAGGAAGCTTTCTGCAAACAATCAGCACATTAAAGCTTCTATGTTGTCCTTTTTAAGGGCTGATCACGAGTATTCTGGTGAAGGATCAGAATGTGAAACTATTCCTGAGGGGGCATTAAGGGAGCAACTGCTGGAAATTGTTCATTTAGACAGACTTTTTCGTGGGCAACTCTGGATGAGCAGCTGAATGACTCATTGATGAACAAAATTTGTTTATACTTCATTGAAACTGGGGGTCTACCAGTCTTTGTGGGAGAATTCTACAGAAGAGTGAGCATGACCTAGAGCTTGCTTTTATGGAATTAGTGCTCTTGCTTGTCACGGTCAACATTTGGGATCTAATGTTTTGAATACTATAGTAAAGCTCCTCCGTGTAATTAAGACATCTCAAACCTTTTCAAGATCCGTGGCTTGGTTATTTTGTGAATGATCTTGGTGGTCGCAGTAATTTTGAGGCATTTGCTATCTAGAATATTATAATTTTTGGCATTCTCCACAGCTTACTAGACTCTGCCCTTCATAGTCCATGAATGAGGTCCAGTTGGTTCCTTTTTCATTACATCCATCAGCAGCTTTACTTACAATATAATTCAACACTTAGTTTGTGCAGATTTTCTATTGTACATGCTCTGCATTGCTTGAACAGTTGATTGGGTGCCACCATCCACATCCATTTCCAGATAATTAATGAATAAATCAGGTGGCTATTGCTTGCCTAATGATTGTAATTATAACTTGTTTACGCTACTGTAATCTTTCTAGATCAAACCTGCTCTTCTGTATTGGCTTGTGGCACTTTGAGGGCATCATAATATTTTCTGCTTCAAGGTATCTGCACAAGCACTAACGAAGCTATGGCTGTGAAGGTGTATATGCTGATGATGAGGATGTAAACAAGTTGCTCAAGGAGAAATATGGAAAATTATCCACTTCTGAGCTCAAGGAAAGCAAGGAAGTATCGGAGGATCTGATGGAAGGTGATATATGCGTAACTGTCAGGCTTCAAATTGTTTATGGCAAATTGAGTATAAAATCCGTACGCAGTGCATTTGAAGAATCAGTTGGAAACAGACTTAAAAAGTTCAGTACAGAAGACAATAAAGAATTGCTTCAAAGGTGAGTTGAGGTCTTGGCAGCTGTTGTAAGCTGCATATAACTTATTCTAATAATTAAAGTAAGGAATTTTGATTTAGATGTATCTGAAAGTAAAAAGATACTGGACACATGAACTGTTCGAGCTCCTTCTCTCCTAAATGACTTGCGAGTTTATATTTTCGATGTTTTAAGATTTGAGCAATTTCATGTAGAATATTATTCCATATGGCCACTTCTTTTCCAATAGTAGTTGAAGATTTATCCCCGTCTAATCTGGCTTGCTATGATTTCCTTTCCCCATGATGTTACTTTATCTGAGAAAGACGTGTTCGTGTTAAATTTTTTACTCTTGCGCATCTAGTATCATGTATTCCATATCAATAGTGACTTCGAAAGATGAATCTGCAGATTTACTTCCCAGTTCAAGGATGAGTACAAAATACCACGAGGATCTGTGATAGACCTGTCAAGAGACCGGGGTCATGTACTTCGCACCACAAGTAAGATGATTTGATAGATTGCTTGAGATTGTACCATCTTCTTGTTTGAAGAACAGTTCTATTCCACGCGTCTTGTGTTTCTCTAGCATACAGTACATCAAACACAGCATACGAATTTTACCTTCGAAGTAAAGTTAAAGAATATGTGACTCGAATCCTGTTGAACCATAGTCATGGCGATTGTGCATATTCTCATTTTAGTCCTTGCTCTATGGCATAGCTACATTTTATATTCATATACTTTTAGCATAGACTTTATTATTCCTGTTCTTGTGCACTTGTGTTAATTGATTTACTCTGCTCTGCTTGTTTGTGACTAAGCAATTTTGTTTTTGTGGATCTGTATACTGTAGTAGATGGTGGCTCTATCAATAGTATGTGAGCAACCACTCTGGCAAACACAAAGTTGATTATTGTGTTCGTCAATGAGAGTGAGCTGCCATTGTGTGAATTATTTTTCGAAACACGGCTGGTGGAGAAAATTTTTTCAACGAAAGGCCTCGATCACCAATAGTGCATTGGTTGTAACTACTTGCTCTTTCACTGACCAACTCATCAATGGTGATGAAGGCATCAGATACAAAATTATATCTGACTTGATTGATAGAAAGACTTTGTATGACATTACTTGATGCTTCTTTCAATGTCATGTTTGCAGTTGATGGGAACGAGGTGGGAAGCATAGAGAGCAAACTTCTTTGCCGGTCGATTCTGGACTTGTACATCGGCGAGGATCCTTTCGATAGACAAGCTAGGGAAGATGTCAAGCTGAACTTGGCTTCTCTCCTTCAAAAGTGACTCGCACTTCTTTCCACTGTTCGTTTGCAGGAGAGGCTTGTGAAGACGGATCTTAAACATACTCTTTTACCTGTACTCTTACTTTCTCGGTCAACTTAAATAAGAGTCGTGTACCACTTCGTTCCAGTAACTTGGGAGCTAAAACATTAAGAAAGGATTCAAACATGTAAGCGGTATTCTTTTCGTGTAATTTGATCCACAATCACGACACAACTGATTTCAGTATCACATATTAGTGCTGACGTCACATTTTCTCAATCTTTGACATTGCATCTCTTGTGCATCCTTTGTCTTTGTTAGCTCCTTTGGCTATGTCGAGGGTGCTAGATTTTGTGGTGTTGCACGTTATATGAAATCTGGCACCTGCATAGTAAAGCTATATATACCATGGACAAATTTGTGCTGACACCCTTTTGATGGCAATTGTGGAGTCAAGCTTCGGGAAGGTTATGCTGGTTGTGGCTATGGAGTGAAAATGCTCACATCTAGTATCCAGGGACATGAGCTGACGAGACATTGTTTTCAGAGAGTTCTTTCGGTCAAGGATTTCTTCTTGTGTAGCAATGCTTGTTCTTGTTCTAAAGTTGTTGCCAATCGTTACAATCGGAAAATGGGTGTAACTGGAATCGGAATCGGAATCGGAAGTGAGAAATGGCGATTTCGTCCTTCTATCGTTTTTTCTACGGACAAAGTTCTTTATATTGAAAACTAAGCATAGGAGAATTTCACATGAGGATCAACATATACTCGAATGCAACTCCATTTCAACCCACGTTATAATTAACTATCAGGGCAAAAACGTATCCGACACATACTCCATTCAAGTGATTTTGCTAGTTCAAGTAGATTGGGCAAAAAAAAGGGGGGGAAAATAAAAATGAAAAAAAGGAGCAAATTTTTTTATCTGGAGATATCGAGGAAAATTTTCTTTGAGAGCGGTCATCTTACCGGAGAGGATACTTTTACAGGAGCTATCGCTCATTCATCGCCAAACAGCTACCGCCCGAAGCTTGAAGCCTGCAGAGAGAAAGCGAAGCATTCCTGTCCAAATTCATCAGTTTCGCAGCAAGATGGCCGCTCGGGTCTCGAGCCTATGCCTACCAAGCTCTCCTTCCCTCCCCTCTTTCAGCTTCTCTCTCCGCCGTACCAGGCCTTCCCTCGCTCCTCCTCACGCCGCCATGCCGTCTCTGTCCTCTCCCTCCCCTTCTCCCTCTTTTCAGGTCCTCTCCTTCTCTCTCTCTTGGTGTGTGCGTGCGTGTGCGTGTGCGTGTGCGTCTTGGACAGATTTTTTTTCTTCTTTTGGTTTTTCAAGATTATGACTTGAGAATGCAGCAGTATCCAAGTGCTTCCCCTCTCGCAGTAATTTGATCGAGCGCTCAAATATAACGCTTCCCCTTTATGAACTCTTCGCAATGCGTCGTGGGTCTGGCTTGTTTCGGGGAATTCGGTTGCGAATGGATAGGGTGGGACAATATTTCTCTGGGGGAACTTTTGCAGATGGTGGGAGAAATTTCAAGATTTTCGTATCATCGCTGTTTTCAGTTTTCGTGAAGCAGTTGAGAACAGCGAAATCAACTCAAAAACTCTCTCTCTCGGCGCGCACGCGTGTTCGACTGTTTTTTTTTTTATTTTTTTTTATTTTTCAAGAATGTGACTTGAGAATGCAGCAGTAACCAAGTGCTTCCACTATCGCAGTAATTTGATTGAGTACTCAAATTAACGCTTCCCCTTTATGAACTCTTAGCAATGCGTTGTGGGTCTGGCTTGTTTTGGGGAATTCGGTTGCCAATGGATAGGGTGAGATAATGTTTCTCTGGGGGAACTTTCGCAGATAGTTGGTGGGAGAAATTCGGGTTGGCATGGAACTGGGGTTGCCCAGCTCGGCGAAGAAGACAAAGAAGTGGATTGGTTGGATCTGGATGCTGATCTTTATCACTGGACCCAAGGTTTGCGTACTGTTCAGGTATAATCCCGCTGTGGTTTTCGATTCTAACGTTGTGGTATTGTTAACTGGGTTTTGATTGGATTATCTTGGTTGTTGAGTAACGGATTTTTGCGGTGTCACGGCCAAAAAACAGTGGTATCCTGGTCATATTGCGAAGACGGAGAAAGAACTTAAAGAGCAGTTGAAGTTGATGGATGTTGTTATAGAAGTCTGCGACGCAAGAATTCCTTTGTCCACAAGCCATCCGCAGGTGAGATTACTGGTTCTGCGGTGGTTGCTCGTCAGGGATAGCATGAATGTGCTTAGATATTGATCTTGTTTTTTTTAACATGTGCATAATAGAAGAATCATATACTCTTGAAAGATAAGATCTGCGTAAGGACAAGTTAATCAGGGAACTACGAGGTCAATAGGTCCTGACGAGCTTCACGTTTACTTTGAGAAGGAAAAATATAGCTAGATAGAATATTTAGTAGATTATCCGGAGCATTGGGATGTGAACCTGATGGGATTGTAATTTGTTATGCCACTGTCAGATGTGGGGGTAACTAGCTTCAAGCACATAAATAATCAATATGCTACAATTCATTGTTATGAGTTCATTTCTGTGGGCAGATGGGATCATGGCTTGGTACTAGGAAAAGGATTTTAGTGCTGAATCGAGAAGATATGATATCCAAGGCAGACCGGAATGCTTGGGCAACTTATTTTTCTAAACAAGGCATAAAAGTCGTCTTTTCGAACGGAAAACTCGGAATGGTATCTTTTAGAAACCCCTCACGCTTTTGGTTTTAATGGAAATAGCAAATGATGGTTGTATTGGAACTGCAGGGGAGTATGAAGCTAGGCCGATTAACAAAAACACTAGCAGCGGATGTAAATGTCAAACGCCGGGCAAAAGGTTTACTTCCTCGAGCTGTATGTTCCTTCAACTGTTGAATAACACTTGCGTCAATTTATTTGATTATTTCATGTTTTAATGTTTTTGAAATCAATGGACTCATTTAGTACTTGTTTTTTTTTTTGGTAGGAACATTTGATACTTGTTAATCTGCATATAGTGAACTTTTATGTGCAGCATGCAACCTTAGAAGCTTTTACATGTGATTGTCTTTATTGCATACGACTAACAGATATCTGTTCTGCTTTTGCCATATGAACTGTTGTACTTTTTGCCTTCATTTTCAGAATCTCACTTGTTAGATTAGAATTTTTTTCCAAGACAAAGGGATATCAATTTAAGTTCATTTCTATACTTTATCTAGAGTTTTCTAATCAAGAAAGCAGTCTGTGATCTTCCAAACATAATTTTAGTCAAAACTTCGTCTGCTGAGTGCTTGAAGCATGACATCAGATTTGATAATTAGTTAGCTGGACTTGGCATATCTTGTTTACACTGGGAAAAAATTTTGCTGGGTGTATCTGGGAATCTTGGTTCTTGAGTATTGATATTGGGTTTTGGAGAAAAGAGAGATGGTTGGCATCTTCCTTACAGTGATGGGAACAGCTTCCAGAATCACCTGTTACCAACGAATCTAGTAACAGTGTACATTGTCTCCACCATCAACCCTGGTGTCATAGTAATGATACTCCTTTTCTAGCTGCCTAGAAGAACATTCTCTGCTTTCTTTCTTTACACCTTTTTGTTTATTCTCTTAGGTATATGGATTCACTCAGGCTGGTGTCACCATCCACCCAATTTTTGAATGCTTATATTGTTATTTGCATCGTGTTATGATGATAACTCTGTAATCAAGGGTTTGATATACTTTTGAGTCTGGCAGTTCATTACAGTTACTGTTTCAAATTTGAAGCCTAAGAATAGTCTTTGGGTCTTGCCACACTCCATTCCATACCACAGTTTCATCTTCTGTTTGTATAAACTCCTCTGCTGTTGAGCAGGTTCGAGCTGGAATTGTTGGTTATCCAAATGTTGGAAAATCTTCTTTGATTAATCGTCTGTTGAAGCGACGCATGTGTCCAGCAGCTCCCAGACCTGGTGTTACAAGAGAATTAAAGTACGTATAGATTGGATTTGTTATGTTTGTAAGGTATGCTGGAAAAGGAAAAGAGATTCTACTTGAATTTCTAAGTGCCTTTTGACAACGTACCCTTTGAAAGTATCATAAATATGTTCTGTGCTTATAATCTAGTTTTAAGGTTCTGGACTCTCTGGTGATATATATCATAACAATTTATTGCTTTCAAACAAAAAGAAGATGGAGAAAACCACTAAAGTCGGTCCAAAACTACAGCAAATTCTTTTTTGGCAGATGATAAGAAATTTTCCTACACTGTCTATTTTCAGAAATTTACTTGGGAATTTTCATCTTGAAGAATTCTTTTTAGCTCATCCAAAAGATGGAAATTTTTAAGTAAAATAATACTATCTAGGTAAACCACGTATGCCGGATGAATTCTGCTACACCAGTTATATCTGTTTGACTGATACATGCATTTCCTTTTACTGTTGAAGATGGGTACGCTTTGGGAATGACCTCGAGTTGTTAGACTCCCCTGGAATAATCCCTATGCGAATTAGTGATCAGGTAGCTGCTATAAAGCTAGCCATTTGTGATGACATTGGAGAGAGATCCTACAATGTAGCTGATGTTGCTGCGATTCTTGTACAAATGCTAACAAGGCTTCCCGCAGTTGGTAGGTTGCCCATTGCATTATTCCCCATGACCTATGGTGTTTATCTCTGACTTCTGTGGCTAGCAGTTGCTGGCTGGCAAAAGTAGCTTTTACTTTTAGGTGCAATGTGTGATGTAAAATATATTACAATAATAGAAATTCTGCTAGACTTGGTGAAGTTTAGTTGAGTGCTGGAAAAGCCCTGGATAACCCATTGTTAGTTGGTAATACTTGTTCAAATGTCACTCAACGCATTCCACCAATGTTAACCATACTGGATTTTACTCTCTATTTGGCTGATTTGGTTTAGTGTGAGGCTTTTAGTTAGGTATTGGAGCTTCATTGCAAATGCTTGGAGAATAAATAAAACTATCAAGAGTGACTATACAATCCTCAGTGTGGACTTGGGGTAATCTTGCCTTTTGAGCTGAAGCACTTGCCGTCAACTGATTTAAGGATAACTTAATTAGTCATTATAAGCCATTTGCATTTCTATGGAAGCTCAGTGTCATTGAAACACCCCTGTTTCTCCCGAAAAAAAATGAAAAATAAAATAAGGAAAAGGGGAGAAAAAGTGCAAACCGGTTTGCATTGTCTGTCAATCATTTGAGAAAGTGAAGAAAATATTGTCAGTTGGAGGAAATTGTCTGGATTTTATTATTTATTTCGAGAGAAGATGAGAAACTCTTGTACAAAGTCTATATTTTTTGCCTTTGCTCATAAAAAACTCGTTGCCATCTTGCTTGTGCTGCTTCATTTAATAATTTGAGCATTCACATTATAATAGGTTGCTGTCAGTACATATCTATTCCCTCTCATGAACAACTACATTTACCCACGGTCCTCTTTTTCAGGTGCAGGGGTCCTTCAGAACCGCTACAAGATCGATGCGGATGGTCATTGTGGTGACATGTATGCATATGATTCTAGTGACCATGGTCCTTTAAGATTTCCAATGAGTTGGACATAAAGATTTTCCAAAAGCCTAGGATCCAAGCAAGAATAAAGAGTAAACATAATATGGATAATGAAGAAAAAAAAGGGAGAAAAAGCAAGAAAAATAATCTTTATCTTCGGAGTTGAGAGATAGCCTTGGGCTGTTTAAACGCTTCTGACAATGCGCAGCCATTTTCACTCTTCTGTAGGTCCAGGACTAATTAATTTTCTCCTTTTCTTAATTGCAGATTCGTTCAGAAGGTTGCTCTTAACTTGTTCAATGGGGATATTCATCAAGCTGCATTCCGCATCTTGACAGACTTCCGCAAGGGAAAGTTTGGTTGGATAGCGTTGGAAAGACCTCCTCGTTAGTTCCTAACGAAATACAGGTCTCCTAAACCTTTTCTTGCGATGCATGTCCACCAAATGCCACACTTTAAGAAGGCCTAGGAATCCCCGATGTTCTCATTCAGAGAGCTCGTAAAATAAGTATCAGGTGAGAAGATACATTGTGATCCAGGCCTGAAAACTAGGGGGAACCATTAATAGAAAGTGATCTCTTCGAGATGTTTGGGCATGCAAACTGGGAAATCCCTGATTTCTCCTCCTTGCAGAAGTTCGAGGATTCAGGACAAGCAAAATGGAGGGGATGCCATTGAAACCTTATTGTTAAAGTCTGCAATGCAAGCATGTATAGAAATAACTAAGCATTTTTCTTGCCCTGAAGTGATGGTAAGTAGGTGTCAGAACCGCATGAACTCGAGGTAATTTGTGAATTGTACAAGTTGAAGGTTCCGTTGTAAAGTTGGACAGAAAGCATCTGATACTTTGCACTTTATACTCTCTCATTTTGCTCCAACTATGGTGACTCATTTTTGGTTCTAAAACCAAAACCTGCAAGATTGTAATATGTAGTTGTTATTGTTCCTTTTAAAATGGCTAAATTGTTGCCTTAAAGATCTCTATGGGACATGGATTCTTTTCTGGCCAAACTTGCAATTCCCTCAGCTGTCATTCTCGGGTTAAAGCAAACTTGAGTGGCGTTGGTCAGCTTATGAAATGAGCCTGTTTTCGGCCTGTCCTGATCAGCTCCAACGGGCCGACACAGCGGCAGAGGGCTTGGGTCTTCTAATCAAGAACCTGCAGGATATTTGTCAATGGAAAAGAATTATGATATTGTCTGTGTGAATTAACCAATGTTATCATTAGGAAAAAAAAAGTAAAAAACAAAAAATAAAGGGTTATGGTCATCGAAGTAATTAAAATTTTCATTTTTTTTTATGAAAAGTACCATATGCGCGGGAAAATGAAGTTGACTAATATAATTCAGAGAAAATGGTGGGGAGGCATGAAGCATGGCTCAACTCCATGCAGGTCGCTCCAGATTTATGATGTCCCGTTTCGTCTTTCTTCTTTTTGTGCTTATGTTTTGTTTTGATATGATCTAAATATAAACATGCTTAATGTCTGATCATGCTTCGGACGGGTTAATTTTTTCCATATTTTGATCAAATGTTTTTTTCCATTTTTATGAAGATCGACTAATAATTAGATTGAAATTAAATTTCAACTTTGAAATGTAGTTTCGCGCAAATTATTTGATGAAAATTAGGAAACTGATTGTGTGTTCATAAGCCGTTGCAGCTAGAAATTTCTAATCTTTTGTGATAACAAATATGAGACCATAAATTATAATTAACAAACTTCTCTAGACAAAGTGATGATAGGATGGAGGATAAGATGATATATTGTTAGGTGTAATGGGGCATATATGTTGTGAAATCAATGAGAGATGATACAAATAAAGTCAATCTTGTTTGTTAGCCTAATAAAAGAACAGTAAATTGAAGAGAAAGCGGAGGGTGTTTTGGTCAGTTAATTGAAAAAAATGTGTGTCTTAGCCAAAATGGAGGTGGAAATAGCGCAACCTTTTGTTACTTAGCCTTATAAAAAAATGGAAATTATTTAATCAATCATAAACCTTATGTACAAATATTAATTTAGTTATAAACTTATCAATTTTGTTAATTCAGTTCTAAACCTTTGCACGAAATTTTAATGTAATTATTCCAATCAATTTTCGCAAGATACCACTGACGTGATGGTCCAGTCTTCACTAGCCGTGTGGCACACCACCACGTTAGTAATTTTTAGCAAAAATTGATCGGAATGACTACATTGAAATTTCGTGCAAATGTTTTGGACTCAATTGACAAAATTGAAAAGTTTAGGACTGAATTGGTATATGTATTGTAGGTTTAAGACTAATTGGATAATTTCCCCTAAAAAAAAGAAACAATACACTGAAGAGAGAGAGAGAGAGAGAGAGAGAGAGAGAGAGAGAGAGAGAGAGAGAGAGAGAGAGAGAGAGAGAGAGAGAGAGAGAGAGAGAAGTATATCGGTCAATAAACTTAAAAAAGTAGTGTCTTAAGAAAAATAAGGTTGGAAATAGGACCGCCTTTTTTATATTACCGATTTTTCTTATCCTTAAGCAACTTTATTTACCTCCCTTATAAGCACTTTAAGATTACCAACTTTTATTAAGGTGACTTATTAACTCTTTTCCCTAAGAACAAATAACACAATAGAAAATTTGGTGAATTAACAAAGATCCCCAGAAACGTCGGTTAACTCAAATAAGAGTTGATAATCCAACAATAGCTGAAAACTTAATTAGAGAAAAATCACATAAGTTAAAGTTAATAATTTCATATAAACATTGGTAAGGTTACAACATAATTAAGAGAGGTATATAAAAGTTGGTAATTAAAAGAAAAATAAACTTGCCATATAAGTTATTCAAATTAGAGTTGGTAACCGAAAACTAGTTTAAAACTTAATTGTAGAAAAGTTAGTAAGTCTTTTTTATTAAGGTTGATAATTTCTAAAAGAGTTAGTAAATTCAAGACAATATTATGAAATGCAAATAAAAGTTTGTAAATATCAAGAAAAGTTGGCACGCTATAAAAAAATTTAAATAAAGGTTGGTAAGTAAATCAAATGAGAGTTGGTAACCAATACTAAATAGCAAATTAATAGAAAAATTTTAGGGGGTCGCGCTATTTTAAGTTGGTAATATCTAAGTAAGGGATTATTAACCAACACCAATAAAGGATGGTAATTTAATAGAAAAAGTTGGTGAGATATAAGATACATAGATAAATTTTGGTAAGTAATAAAAATGAGAGTCGGTAACAAGTAATTGGTTATTTAATTTGATAAAAGATTGGTAGGTCACCCTAATTTAGGTTAGTAATTTCTAGGAGATAATAGATTCAAAACATCATGTTGTTATGTAAAATGTTGGTAAGTCTATACAAAAATTGTCAATATGCAAACCATTAAAATAGTTGGTAATTTCATAGAAGTGTGGGTATATCATGTAATAAATCAGTCTCAATAAGAAAGAATCAGATCATCTTCATTCGATAACCAAAACTTTTTGTGCTAACATGAATCTCATTATATTCAACCTGAGATTTCGGACTGAAAATTTTCTATCCCGAATAGTGGTCCCCTTGATGACTCAAGAAATCAAAACAATCGATTTACAGAAGTAAGATTTTTATCAACAGTTAAAGTATATCAAGATATTAAAAAAATGTGTATAGGTAGAGGATCCACGTCCTTCATATTCTCGTTAAGATGCGTATGGTTGTTCAATTTTTCCAAATCGGATAATCTCTCTAAAATCAAATAGATCAAATGGGCACTTCTAAGGCACACTAATTGCATCATACATAATTATGAATCGTCGTAATAACTAAGTATAAGAAGGCCACAAGGTGGTAAATCGTTTTACAACGTCACAAGTTGTGGTTGTAATTAAGTTCAAAAGAGCTGTGAAAAGAGTTTGCTAAACTTATCGAGACTGATTTATTAAGTGATACGTCAGGCTATTATTGGTTCTTGAATAGTGCCATTTATTTATAGGTCCACTCATAGTATCGTACATTAGTTTTAGTAAGTCTGGCACTGTTGAAAGGTTTGTTGCGACCAACGACATTGTCATGGCAATCTTTGATGTCGGTGGTTTTCGCTCCCTCCTAGTATCCTGAACCCGCCGTTCGTTCCGCTCTAGACTTTCTTCATCTTGAGTTTGGTGAAGACATACAAGTTTCTTTCCGCGTTCTTGTCGAAGAATTTCCATGGTTCCTTTTCATACACATCGAACTCGCCTATGATCAATTCAGGAAAAACCAAATTCCGCAATCGAAGAAGAGTCATTCGTCCGACGGACAAAATCAATATCCGAAGGGAAGCGTATCCGCCGTTCTTCCACTCTATTTCTCTCTCTCTCAAGAACTAGTTGAGACTCCATAAGTTGAGACAATGATCTTACATAACTCTCTAAGCGACTTTCCTTTTTTAGCCGGGACAATTGTACATTTATAACAGATATGCGTGAACAGATGGTTATGAGCTTTACGAGTGCACTATCCATATCCTTTACAACTAGATCTGGCAAATCTAAATGATCCACATATACGCCAAAGCAATCTTTATATTTAAGTTATTAAACTTTGCGTTTAATTAAGTAGTGTGGCTAAGGCAAGCTGTTTTCATCCGCCTCGAGCACCGCTCGACCGTTCGTCCATCCCCAAAAAATCAACTAACTACGTTTCGATTTCGCTAACCGATTTACCGACTTCGAATTAAACACTATCCATAAGTGCAATATTTATCGTTTTCGCCAAATGGGAGGGTATGGTATGGATTAAAAAGGCAAGTTTTGTTTTAAATGTCTAAGTGAACAGTAAACTTCGCCACTTACAGTTAATTCTTACCTAAATAAGAATTTAAATCTTTTCATTACAAGTTCACCTTCCTCTTTTAGTAAGATTTAAGTGCGTAAAACCAACGACTACCTGTGTGTGTGATCTGTTCTAATCTTAACTCTTAAGTAATTTCAGAGAGAGAGCATTGGCCATGTATCCATTTACATTTCCCGGTCAAAAGTCACTTCTATTTAAGTGCATCAACATTACCGGCCTAAGCCGAAAACAATCACATTCACACACAAATCAATTCCTAGTCATCCAGAGTATAGAGAGTTCTTGAGAGGGAAGAGAGATGGAGAGAAAGAAAATAAAACCGATGGATGGGTATCCGATCGGTTACCGGTTTCGCCCGTCCGTGGACGACCTCTTCTTTCATTACCTCGCGAAGAAGGTGGAAGGGGAATCGGAGGCCATCCCTCCATTCATGCCCGAGGTCGACATTTACGGCGACGATGATCCTTGGGAGATGTTCGACACGAATTCTAAGGAAAGCTTCTACGTCTTCACTAGGTTAAAGATGATCAAGTCCAGGGTGAAGAGGACCGCCGGTTCCGGGACTTGGACCAATGGGAATAAGCGAGAAATCATGGACAATCGAGGCTACACCGTCGGTTACAACAAGCTGTTCACTTTTAAGTCGTCGACCGGAAGCGAGAAGATGAAGAACGGACATTGGACCATGCACGAGTACTCTATGAAGGGTCAAGAGGTAGTTTAAATTTCTCGGATTAATCTTCTATAGTTAATGGATTTAATGAACTTATTGAATGAATTTTTTCCAAAACTTTCGAGAAACCCTTCCGGCAGAAAATAGAACTGAATGATGTTATTCTTGAGGATTATTACCATAGAATGTCAACAATTACTGCCTGTTCATACCGTTTTCTGTGCGTCCTTTGCATGTTATTTTCTGTTATTACTTGCTCAAGCTTTGCCACACAATCATTCATATAAATGATCTTGTACCCCTTTTTCGTTTTCTTTAGGCATTGTTCTTTCTGTTGTTTCAATCTTGGCCACAACTATAGTCATATTACGATTCTTCATTAAGCTCTTTCCTCCCCTAATTTTTGTTTAATTAATTTCTCTATTTCTGTATACGTCTGAATTTACCTTTTCTCCCTTTTAT